TAATTAATGTAGTCTACACGTTTATATTATACTTCATCGAGCATTCAAAAAAAATATTATACTTCATCGTATTCGAATTAATTTAGAAAATTTTTAAGTTGATATAACTAAAAGAAAATTAAAATTAAAATATTTATGAATATAATGTTTTTTCTATTCAAACTATTTTATCTAATTGATTATGTTTTATATTTTGTCATAAATATTTTTATAACAATTCAAAGTGTTTTAAAATTTCACCATAATTTTGACTCTGTCCCTAACGTAACTATCATATAGTCTATCATATCATAAACATTGTATTATAATTTATAATATATTTTGTATTTGAACCATATTATAGTTGTTTAATATTTTGTCATTAACATTTCTAAAGTTATTTAAACTACACCTACACTCACATAATTTTTTGAATTTGCTCCTGAAGAGAATCGTGCTCTACCCATTTCACCACCGTTTTTAGGGCAAGTTTGTCTGTTTTTGTTTTGCTGTACTGTAGTCTTTATTTTGCAGATATATAGTTAGGTAAAACGAAGATTGAGAAAGAAGGGAAGGAAGAATCTGCAACAATAATTATATTCCATTACTGGAAGCTGGAATATTGAGTACGTACATATATATATATATATATATATATATATATATATATATATATATATATATATATATATACACGATGAATGCATTAAATCTGGAAAGACATTAATCATTGTTTCTTTTGGACTACATTGTAATCATGTGGCTTGTTGAAAAATTAGCAAAAGCAACAAAATGGCATGTGAATGGTTACTATGCAGTTTTGTTTTGAGCTGAGGATTCTAATTATTTTAATTGAAAAAATGAGTTTTGAATATTTATACTTCAAATGAATAATATGTGAATAAAAAATTAATTTTAAATTAAATTATACACATGAAGCTTGGGAAATTGAATTTCAGAAGACTAGAAATAGTCTTTCTCCTACTACTACTACGGAGTATTTTTTTTGGAAGGGTTTCTGAATAATGCATCTCAGATTTTTATTTTTTTTATTTATTTAAAAAAAAAAAAAAAAAACCATTGTGTCGGCTATTGAGTTGTACAATGTCGACTGTACTGATAAGTGTCGGTAAACCACACAAAATTAAACTCTGGTGCTTTATGGAATTATGGGTAACTGCTGCACTGTATACCTAGGACAAGATTGTGCTTTTTTTGTTTTTCTTTTTTTGTTTTTGTTTTTGAGTTCTATGCATATAATTTCAAGGATGGCCATGAAACCCGCAAGATTGATTGATTGATGTTAACTTGATGCTTCTTCACATAATAATAATAATAATAATAATAATAATAATAATAGTCAGATTATTAATAATGGAATATCAAATGGCTACCAGGTATGGTAAAAATAAGTTGTGATTATGTCTCATACCAAATAATAAAAATTATTATTTATTATGCAATAATAATTACAGAGTGACTCACAATTTATCTTATCCAATAGTTATTATGCAGATTCTTTAGGAGCATAAGATTGGACTAACCTAAGTTATGATACCTAATATATAAAAAAAATTTATTAGGGTCAAAAATGAAATCTACCACACCACAAAAATCTAACCTTCTACATTTGTAAGATTTCACCTGATTATGACAGTTTCTTTTTTAATGGGGAACATTTAGCTGAGCTTTCTTGCTTTCTGTGAATCTTTTTCCCATCTGGTCTCTCCTGCTTTCGTTTTCGCCCATCTCTTTGTGTTATACCATCACAGGGATTCACAGGAAGCTACCAAAAACAAAAAAAAAAAAACACCCACCCATCCTCCTCTCCCTTCACCAAAGTTCACAAACGCCATTATGCTGTTTGATGTGGGCATCTAGTTTTTGGAGCCTCATTGATGATTCTTGGACCACTTTGAAGTTATTGCAGAGGTGGGATCTGATTATCCTGAATCCTAAATATTGGGAACCCAGAAAGATCCCAGGTACAAAAAGGCTCCATCTTGGTGTTCTACATTCATTAATTTCTTTGGGTTGAAGCATTTGTTACCATTTTATTACAGGCACTGTTCGTCTTTCTCATCGTGGTCACTTGATGGTGAAATCTCCTATTAGCAGAATGGGAAAACGAAATGGCCTGTTTTACCCCACCATTGGGTTTGCATCTTTGGTGACATTTATTTACCTGTGTTTTGGGGACCTATGGGTAGATGTCCAGAAAGAAACAAAATTAAATTTTGTGGAGAGGAATGGGACTCAGTTTTTTGTGGATGGTCAAGCCTTCTATGTGAATGGGTGGAACTCTTATTGGTTGATGGACCATGCTGTGGATGGGAGCAGAAGACCAAGAATTAGAGCCATGCTGCAAGCTGGGGCTAAGATGGGTCTCACTGTATGTAGAACTTGGGCCTTCAATGATGGTGCACATAATGCATTACAGCTTTCCCCTGGGAGATTTGATGAAAGAGTGTTTATAGTAAGAGCTTTTGCTTTTCAATAGTCATGATATCCTATTATATCTATTTCACTTTTAGTAGTTATGATTACTATTTTTGATTTAAAGATTATTTAATGTTTTTATCTGTCCATTGAATTGCTTCTTGGAGTTCTTAGCCAGTTTGCAGCTCTAGCTTATGGGTACTTTCAAGTATTCTGTCTCCAAAGCTTTTGGCTATGGCTTCCAAAACTTTTCTGATTAGTCAATTTTACCTTGTCATATACAAGTATCTTCCATTATTTTTCTCCCTCTCTGGTTCAAGTTTCACGTACTGCTAAATGCTGTATGACAGGCCTTAGATCATGTACTTGCTGAAGCCCGACAATCTGGAATTAGGCTGATACTTTGCTTGGTTAATAACTTGCAAGCGTATGGTGGGAAGACTCAATATGTGAAGTGGGCATGGGAAGAGGGTGTTGGTTTAAGCTCTTCTAATGATTCATTCTTCTATGATCCCACCATCCGCTATTATTTCAAAAACTATGTTAAGGTAATCCTTTTGCGCAATTGCCTCAATTGTTCTTAAGTATACCAATCCTACCTTCCTAAATTGTATGTTAGGCAGCATTTAATGAGGTTTACATAAAATCCATTAAACCCCTGTAGATTAAAAGGTGTTTAATCTATATCATGAACTTTTACTTTGTAGTTACTTCATATTGTTTTTGTTTTACTGGTTACTAATGACCTTTCACCTTGATTAAATTGGTTTTATTGCTTAGGCTGCCTATTGGTGTGCATAAAATCTTGTTTTTATGGCATTGTTTTTTCCCATTTTGATGCCATCCATTGCGTTGTGTGTGCTGGATGTGCATAACCATAGATTTTTATCCTTATATCTCCCTTATAGTTTAGACTAGAAACTCATTAGCTTAAGGTGCTTTAATTCTTTTTTTCCCTTATTCTTTTGCAGACGGTACTAACAAGGAAGAACACAATCACTGGTGTCGAGTACAGGGATGATCCTACTATCTTTGCATGGGAATTGATTAATGAACCTCGGTGCCAAACAGATCCTTCAGGCGACACCCTCCAAGTAAGTTTTGAACTATTTATCCACATTGCAATGCTAAATTGCTCCAACTTTTCTATTCTGAGTTGGAACTTGGAAAAAAGAAACGAAGTGCAACTCCATGTAGACTTAAGAATGTTTCAGGCTGTATTTTTTTGTCTGTGCAATCTGAGCAGATAACTATTCGCCCAGATATGAATTAATTGTATTCCGTAGAATTGCAGGATTGGATTGAAGAAATGTCAACTTTTGTAAAGTTGATTGACAGGAATCATCTGGTTACTATTGGCCTTGAAGGATTTTATGGTCCAAAAAGTCCCACAAAGATGAAAGTCAATCCAGAGTTTTGGGCTGCTGGTCTTGGAACAGATTTCATTCGCAATACTAAGCTCTCAACTGTGGATTTTGCCTCTGTCCATGTATACCCTGACCATTGGTGAGCCTTTCTTTGACTTTCACTTCATAAATTTCTTTTGTTAGAAAGTTGCGAATTTTAAAAGATTCAGACCCCTTCAATATATTGTTGACTTGGTTCTCTATGTAAGTGAAATGAATGTGAGAAACCGAGAAAAATGTTACTCCATATGGTTGTTAACAAAAAGAGATTGAAAGTGACGTAGTAGATAGTTTCTTGTTTTCCCATGGCTATTTAGTTGAACTTGTATTGCCACTTTCTCATTTCCTGTTGTGTTGATAAAGAATGTTGGCTCTGATGCCAGGTTTCATAATCAAAGTTTTGAGGACAAATTGGCATTTGTGACCAAATGGACACTTTCTCACATTGAAGATGGGGAAAAGGAACTGAAGAAACCTGTCATGTTCACCGAATTCGGATTGTCAACTGAGAACAGGGATTTTGAACCATCCCAACGGGACCAATTCTTCAAGGTTATCCTCGACATCATGTACAAGTCTGCAAGACGAAACAAGGCTGGCGCGGGATCCTTTTTCTGGCAGTTCCTCGTCGAAGGCATGGAAGAGTATAACGATGAATTCGGGATTGTTCCTTGGGAGAGGTCTTCCACATATCAGCTGATTGCAGAACACTCATGTAGGCTTGCAAGAGTTCATGGTGCACTGTCTTCACAGGACCACTTGATAAATTTGTGTTCCCATAGGTGATGATCATCTTAAATGTTTCATTTAGGTGAAATTTTCTGCCATGGTGCAATATATCTGGCCATATTCTTTTGTTTGAAATCTTTACCGGTGGAAAAGCAGGCTGTAATTACTTTATAGTTATACCATGTATGCAGTCTTCATCAAATGAATGAGTCCAGGTTGATTCTTTTATGGCAAGCAAAAAGTTTTAGATTCTCATCACAAGAAACTTAATGTTGAGCATATAACCATTAATGTGCAATCCAACTATCAGCTTAAGCTTTTAGTTGAGATGAAGCACATGCTTCAATTTGATATTAGAGCCAGAGTCATGGGTTCAAATCTCTACGTCACCCTCTACGTCACCCGATAGCAGCAAACACAAAAAGAACATCTTAATGCAAGACCATCAAGAGAAACTATGAAATTATCAAATTTATGCACAATTGGCAAGTACATATACAAAGCTTAGAAGCCACTCTCTTAATCTCTGGAATTCATTGTAACTCTTGTTTTCCCTACAACTAAAGTTCAAACAAACCCGAACCATTGGCTTCAACAAGTGGACTAATGACAGCTTTGTAAGTGTCGCTATCTGGAATTGTTCCTTGCAGCACCATGTAGTCGTGCAGCTGTAAAACTTCGTCAGCATTGCTTATCTTGCTCGCGCTTGTGAGTAGTGTTGTGTATGTGACAGCATCGGGACTTATACCCCGTGTGATCATTACACTTATCAGTTCTTTGGCGTGCTGAATCAATCCATATCTACACATCATATTGATCAGAATATTGTAAGTAACCGTGTTGATAGATAAACCTCCTTTTCTCATACTGCAGAACAAATGCAGCGCCTTTTCAATTTCACCGTTTATACAATACCCATTCAGCAATGTATTAAAGGTTATGACATCATATACAGAAGTCCCTTTCAGTGCATCGACCAAACCTTTAGCTGCATCCACAGAGGCGGCTTTGCATAATCCATCGACTATAGTGTTATAAATCACTAAGTTGGGATTCTTCTTCGTGTTTATCATGTCATCATAAACCTCAACAGCACTTTCGACGTTGCCTACCTGGCAGAATCCATTGATCATCGTACCATAAGTGACCAGGTCTGGAATTAACCCCCGAACAAACATACTGCAGAATATTTGTTGTGCCCCATGCGTGTTTTCACTTCTACACAGATAATCAATAAGAATGTTGTGAGAACAAGCATCTTCTGCAAGGTTGTTTTCCACAATCTGTTTATAATACTTGAGAATTTCTCTCATTTGACCATTTTTACAGAGCCCTTTGGCAAGAATCGAGTAGGTGAAGTTGTCAGGAAGAATATTTCTCTTGATCATGTCAGACAATAAACCGGAAGCCCCATTCACATCTCCTTCCATGTATAGCTGGTGAATTAATGTATTATATATTACTGAATTTGGCAATAAACCCATACTAATCATATTATGACACATCATAAATGCCTCCTCCAATTTACCATTTTTTGAGTACCCATCAACTAAGGTTGCATAGGTCCTTACATTTGGCTCAAAACCCATCTCAATCATTTCAGCAAGAAATTTTTCTGCAATCCTTAAACTTCCCAACTTGCAACACCCATTGATGAGAGAATTATAGGTAATTGAATTAGGGAATACCCAGCCTCCTGACATAATTCCGATGTTTCTAACAAGCTTGAATGCTAAATCAAGTTCACCGATTCTACAAGCTCCATCTATAAGCATATTGAAGCAGACAACATTTGGCACTATTCCACTCTTCACCATCCGGTAAAACACAGAAATTGCCTCAAACAATTTACATTCTTTACAAAGGGCATAAATAACAATATTATAAGTATACACATTCTCCATATAGCCACAAGAAACCATTTCCCTATACACCAGCCAAAAGCGACCAACCTCATCTAACTTTAACAGATGATTCAAAAAATTATTCAGTGCATGAACCGAAACCATATGACCCTCCATTCTCAACTTCTTTATAACCTCATAACCACCATCTGTCAGCCTAATTTGAGTACAAGCCCTAACCAATGTGTCAAATACAGCATTACTCCGGCAACCTACATCATAACTATCAATAAGCCCTCCCAAAAACTCCAAAGGTGAAATCCCCTTCCTTATCATCAACTCTTTCATCAACCACAAAGCATCATCAAAATGCCTACAGCACACCATCACATGAATCACAACACAACAACTTTCAAGCGAATTCAAGACACTTTTTGCTCCACCAATCCTCTTGTAGAACTCCAACATTACTTGGGGAGAGCTCCGGAACTCGTTGAAAACCCGAGAAAGCACGGACCCTGTGAGCCCAGAGCATATTTGGTCCATAAATTTCCATTTATTTTCCCTCAAATTCACACAGATTGATCGAAACAGAACATCCTCTGTATTTGGGTGTGCGAATTGCTTACCCAAATGAAGAGCTCTAACAAAAAGGTGCCTCCTTTTTGGCGAGAACAAGCCTGCAACCATAGACTTAAATTCACCCGAATCATAAAAAAGACTGATTTTGCATACTCACTGAAAGTATCGTTTTAGGTCATCATATAACAACGAAAAAATCAATACACATTCAAAACTATCTGTTCTCAGAACCCTTTCTTTCAAAGATATAAAAATCCAAGCAAATCAACAAATACCCATGGAAATATAAGCAGCATAATTCAGAACTTGAATTAATACATTGAGAAAGCAGTAACATTGTACTACAATATGGTTTCCCAGAACTCGCCCACAACCCTCAGTGCCAACAACCTGCAACTCAAGACCACTGTTCGGCTTTAACCCCCTTTATAATGTCCCTCCATAAACCCTAAAACCCTTCTATGTGGCCTATTGGAGCACATAAAATTTGTAAGAGTTAAATTTAGGTTTCGTTTGAAAAGCAAGGAAAATGACTCTTGGAAAATGTCTTCTAGAAAATAAGTTATTTTTTAAAAATATTTTCCTTTCTCGTATTTAGTTGCATTTTAAAAAACTGTGTATTTAATTTATTTTTTGAAAAAATGAGTAGAATTGTATGTTTGAACATTTTGGCGGAAAAGACTTCCCCCAAATTTTGGCGGAAGTCATTTTCCACAATCAACAGAAAATGTTTTCCGTTGATTGAATTTTCCTGTGCATACAAACACTGAAAACTCATAAAATATTTTTCAGAAGTCATTTTTCGGGTTTCCAAACGGACCCTTACGTACTTTATACTGTTATATCCATTAACCATCATAAATTATTTAATTATCTCTAATAAAAGGTCAAAGGAAAAAAAAACAATTAATTTTTGACCTACTCTGAGTTGCATAAATGTTACATATATTTTTGGTATTATTATTTATGAACATTTTCTAACAAATTATGGACTACGTCCAAATGTCATGCCAAACGTATCTGTATGTGCCCTTAGAGCATCCACATTAGTTGGGAAGAATACGGGGATAATGTAAGAGTGATTAGGAGAGAGAATGTGGGGAAAGGAGGAAAAAAATAAAAAAACCAAAATAAAAAAACAAACAAAAAAAAAATTAAAAAAACGAACTGTCAGGCGCGCCTGACGCGCCCATGTGGGCGGGCTGCTGTGCGCGAAACGCGCACAGCAGCCACTTTTTCTTTTCTTTTTTTTTTTTTCTTCTTTTTCTGCCATTCTCCCCATATTTGCAGGATGATTATTTCTACAAATAACTCAACTCCACATTGGTTATTATCCCCATTGAGAAGAATTAATTCTGAAATCTCCCCATAATATGCACAAGTGTGGATGCTCTTACATCAGAAAAAAAAAATAAATAAATAACCATGTTATCAACATAGAGCATCCACATTAGTTGGGGAGATTTGAGAGATAATGTAAGAGTGATTAGGAAAGAGAAGGTGGGAGGGGAGAGAAAAAAAAAATAACAAAACAAAAATTGAAAAAAAATAATAATAAAAACCTGTCGCGTCAGGCGCGCTGTCAGCGCGCCTGACGCGCTACACGGGCGCGTGCATTGCACGCACCCGTGTAGACAATGGCTGTGCGCAAACGCGCACAACCAGTATTCTTTCTTTTTTTTTTCTTTTTTCTTTTTTTCTGACATTATGCTTGAATTTGCAGAATAATTATTTTCACAAATAACCCCACCCCACATTTGTTATTATCCTCACCCAAGATAATTCATCTGACATTATCTCCATAATATCCATTGATGTGGATGCTCTAATTTTTGACACATAAACTACTTGAGTGCCAACAAAGTTAAAATTTTATATCTCCATTTTTAAAAATTTATTTATAAGATTCGAAGTATGCCTTATACGACAATTAACAAAGTAAAATCTCATAATTTATTTTGGGATTGTTATGCCTGGGGCATCAATGGCAATGAATAGATGAAAGGTGTGGTGTGGAACGGAATGTCATGTAAATAATTGTGAGTATGGATGTGTGAATTCTCTTTTTATTAGAGATTGGGATTATGAAACAAGTCATACAATTACAACAATAGCTAATCATTAGCTATAGGAAATAGCATAGAAACTAAACCAATCATAATAATAGAAAAGAGGAAATTTGAATTTTGGTCATATGGCTATAGGGGTCTTGTTAATTTCAGTCCATGACTTTTAAAAGTGTCAATTTAGTACTTTAACTATGTAATTTTTGTCCATTTTGATCACTCCGGTCAAATTGCCGGCCAAATTTCGTCGAAAAATTCTAATTATTAAAATAATAAAGGTATTCTGGTCATTTCACGTCTCTTTTCTTCTTCCCAGGCGAGTCCATCCCTTCCTCTCCCGTTTCTAGCGAATGCAATGAATTAAGATGATGCGGAAAGGAGGCTTGATGATATTAAAGATAGGGTTTACAAGGAGAAAGAACGCCGGAAATGTCCGCCTAGCTGCCCGGCCGCAGAGGAGGCCGATTCCGGCCTAATCGTTCGCGGCCGGGCGGCGCTTAAGCGCGATTTTTGTAACACTGATAATAATTTTAAAAGGCTCAATTTTCCTTTCACCATAATAATAATAATAATAATAATAATAATAATAATAATAATAATAATAATAATAATAATAATAATATTATTATTATTATTATTATTATTATTATTATTATTATTATTAGTGTTGTTGTTGTTGTTATTATTGGTGGTGGTGTTGTTGTTGTTGTGGCCCTGACGTATGTATTTGACCTCAAATAGGAATTACTCCATACAAAATAAATAGAGTTGGTCATCCAATTAACTTAGGTCATATTTTTTGGTTCAACACTTCAACTTATGGTTATTACAGCAGTCCACAAAATCCACTAGTTTTATGTACCTACTCAAATTTTTAAAATACTATATATATATATATATATATATATATATATATATATATATATATATATATATATATATATATATATACACACACAAATCAAGGGGCCTGGATGATGGAAATATATATATATATATATATATATATATATATATATATATATATATACACAAATCAAGGGGCCTGGATGATGGAAATGTCCAAACTCATCAAATGTATGATAGAATTCATCAAGCCATACTTAACTTGATGGAATTATGTCCACCTTTAGTTTCTCGACTATTGTATATCTCTCATGGTAGATGATTATCTCTTTTTTTTTTTTTTTTTTTTTTTTTTCTTCTTCGTTTAGTGCCCGCATGGCTATCAAATTCGTACAACATTAGGTCACTTTTATTAATTTTCTAACCAACTTTAGTCGAAAACTTCATCATAATAGTCATGTGAGTTATTTAAAAAAAAAAAAAACATTTTTGTTATTTGAATTTGAATAGCATGTAAACCGGTCATGTAGTTAAATAGTAGTCTTAAAGTTAGTGTTGATGAAAATTATATATTATTCCAAAAGGCTGAACCCCAACTCTAAGGGCCCCCCACACCTCGGTCCGACAGAGCATTTGGGAGAATGTAAATCATGGTGACTCAACTGAACATGAACCATAGAGGCTAGACCGGTGTTCACTGCGTGATGAAAATCATACATGATTAACCAGGAAAGCGGATTAGAAAGACATAATGTGATAATATTTTAATAATCATGTACTAAATATAAAAAATTAATACTTAGTGGTCAAATTTAAAAAAGGTACAATAATCGGAAAATCAAAAGCTAACAAATTATACTTGATATATTTAAGGGAGAATGACACTTTTTCCTCTTGAGTTATATACTTATAGCATTTTTCTCCCCTTAATTATTCAAGTGGCTGTTTAAATGGACATATTTACCCTATAAATAAATATTTCATTTATTTTTCATCTCCAAGAAATTATGATCATAATTTGGTTCAAACCAAACAAACACTATAGCAACCAAACCGAAATATTTCAATTACAATTTAGAATCGAAACTCGATATTTAGAGTTTATCAAAATCGCGAACTGGAACAGACAGTTCATGTTCCGAACTGAAAAAAAATAAAATACATTTATTGTTGAAGTTAGACTATTTTAAAATAAAAAATAAAATTTTAAAATAAAGACGGTTCAAAATCGCGAACCGGATCCGAAACCGCCGATTCACAGTTTAGGATCCAATTTTTTTGATTCATAATTTTAATAAATTGAAATTCAAATATTGGGTTCTCGATCTGAATCATAATCGGAAACTTTTAATTCGATTGCTATAGTGTCTGGTTCAGTTCGAACCGAACCGTGGTAATCCCTACGTATACGCAATAATTTGTTGGAGAAGTAAAATAAATAAAATGTTTACTTTAAGGGTAGAAATGTCAATTTAATATATTAGGGGGAAAAATTACCACTTTTAGAATAATTGAGGGTGCTAATGTGCTTACCTAAATAATTGAGGGGGAAAAAGTACTAAAAGTATATAACTCAGGGGGGAAATGTACCATTTTCCTTATATTTAATATTGAATTTCAAACCGGTGCTGAAAATTAAGCCTGCAGTTTTGTCTGAAGAAATATCAAAGAATTTAATTTGGAAAGCCCCACAACTTAGTTTTTTCCACCATGCAGACGACAATTTTGGCAATAATATTGGACTTTTTCAAATGAATTGAATGCACAAATATTAAATTCTGTATAGCTGACAGCCTGACAGATTTGTATATGCATATGTTATGTAGAATGTACTAAGAATTGAAAGAGTTTGACGAATTCTTGGATTGACCATCTAGGCGTTCAATTAAGATTTTTCGTTGAAGCCAATGCGAGGTTAACTTAATTGTTCAGTAAATAATATTTTATTTAATAGAAGAGATAAATGTTCGAATTTTGGTAATGATATGATAAAGATTATGTTTAAAATGGATAAATCTCTTATCTTCGTAATTTACATCTTTCAAAATGTTCTATCAAGTTAAGTTGGGGATTCAATATTTTAAACAATATTTTGAAGTTTTAATAATTTGAAATTAATTATTTTAGTCTTTTGTGGTAAAAAAAATTGTAAAACACATTCTTAAATTTGTGATACTATGGTTATTTTGGTCATTCAATAAATCAAAATATAATACATTAAAAAATTACTTATATATATATATATATATATATATATATATATATATATATATATATTTGATTTGATTTGATATAATATAACAGAAATGAAACAACCTGAGCTATATAAATCACAATCATACCACATGCACACAATTCATGGTCAAAATTAGAAAAATTACTTTGACAAAAAAGGAAGGGATACACAATGGTTCCACATTAATATTCATTTGCCTGATTTCCTTACTAATCTTGGTCAAACTAAAGGTAGAAGCACAACGATTTTAGAGGATCTCCGGATGAGTTGGTGGAATTCTTTTAACTAATGCAGGAAGAGCCATATTCAGAAGAGTAAGATAGTACCCGCTTGGAGCAAGGACAGAAGCAAAAAAAGAAAAAAAAAAAAAAAAAAAAAGAAGCTCATTTGCATAGGAGTTGGTTTTTCTCAATTTGTCATATCCATGGGAGAGGAATGCGTGTTTGGACTGGCTTATGACGCACTACAAAGACTTTTGATTCCGAATTTTTTTCTTAGCGGTTCTTAAAAGTTGACATTGTTGGCATTTTAGACCTCAATTCATGTAATTTTCATTTGCTCTTGCTTTTTATGTTGTATATACATGCGTTTTAATAGGTTAGATACTCAATAATAGATAAAATGAAAGAAATATGAATAGCCATAACTAGTTGTTTTATCTTCGAAAGACGTGATCAATAGATAAAGTATAATTATTAAAAAATCACGATTTTAATTTTTTATCACCACCTTTTTAATCAAACCTATTACATGACTCTTAACCAAAAAGATTATTTCTTCCAGAAAAAAAAAAAGAGTAAGAAAAGTATTTATAGAGGACACATGTATTGAAAACTGGGGAGTGAAGCAGAGGGATCCACATCTACATCTACCTCGCGGACAATTCATTATGGCCGCTTAGCAGTCATACACCTCCATTGTTATAGCAGTCATCCACTTCCACACAGTCGTCAACGATACATTTTATATGATTCTCCTCTCCTGTGTCGCTATTCGCTAACAACCCTCTCTGACTCCAACAAGGCGTTTTTGTCATACAAACTGCGTTCTGTAGCCTCTGTTGACTGCTTTGCCGTCATCGATGTTATCTATAATTCATGTGATTTTTATATGGAGTAGCATTTTTTATAAGCGCGTTGAACAGTCAAGCAGCAGGGCAGAACCGTTCCTTTAAAACCAAAGACTACTTTTTTATTTTATTCTCCCAATCTCAATTCAAAAACAGGGAGAGCTTCTTAGAAGCTTATGACACAGTTGTGGAGATCAAGGGGCCTGATCAACATTCTCGGCCGTTAGGTTTATGTTTATTTATACGTTTCAATAAAGTCTTTAGAAAGTTGGGAGTGTTTTTCTTTGGGTGTTACTGTTCTTGTATGAGACATAGGTTGAAACTTGGGATTCTGGTTATTTGAGGTGTTCTGATTTGAAGAGTATTGGGTTATTATTTTCTTCAGTATTGTTGATTGGATAGTTATTTGTGATTTGTGATAGTTTGTTTCAATGGGGTTGTGGAAAGATGAATTTTGGTAGGCATATTTTTGTGGGTTTGTATTGATTTCAGTAGAGGAATTGAAGGTTCTGGGTGGGTTCTTGGTTGGTTTCTAATGGGTTGTGTCTGTGGGAAAGCTTCCCCAGCTGCCAAAGAAAGGGTAAAGGATGAAAAGAAGAGAGAATTGATCAAAGGGTCGGCAGGATCACGAGTGACACTAGCTATTTCTTCAAAGAGAAAGGAGAGTTTCAGGAGAAAAGAGAAGGAAAAGGGCGAAGCAAGAAAAGGATCAGTTGATAAGAAGGGTAGTGGATCAAGAAAAGTCAGGGATGATAATTTTGAGCAGATAAAAGAGAAATCTGAAGTTATTATCAGTGGTAGTCCAGGATATGGTAATGTTCCCAATGCTGTGGAGGGGGAATTAGTTGCTGCTGGTTGGCCTTCTTGGCTTTCTATGGTTGCTAGTGAAGCTATTATTGGATGGCTTCCCCGCAAAGCTGATACTTTTGAGAAACTGGATAAGGTAACGTTCTGGTCTTTGATCTTATTCCTTTTGTAGTTTGGATAGCACTTTTTTGTAGTCTGTTAATGGCCGTAGTATAATGTGTTTTTGCAAAGGGCATAGTATAATGTGTTTTATACAGCTAAGTCTTTTGATGAAATCTTCTACAGTTATGTATCAAAAGAAAGTGAATGTGACTCTTTCAGCATTAATCTTTTTAACGTTTTTTTCTTTTTGTTTTCGTTGTTGTGTGATAGCATTTTATTCTTGCAGATTGGCCAAGGAACATATAGCAGTGTGTACAAGGCTCGTGACCTGGTGCATAATAAAGTTGTTGCACTAAAAAGGGTTAGGTTTGATAATATGGACCCTGAAAGTGTCAAGTTTATGGCAAGGGAGATCCTCATTTTACGAAGGCTTGATCACCCAAATGTAATAAAATTGGAAGGCATGGTTACCTCTAGAACGTCTTGCAGCTTGTATCTTGTTTTTGAGTACATGGAACATGATCTCACGGGATTGACATCACTTCCCGGCGTTAAGTTCACTGAACCACAGGTGTTTTTCCATAGATTCCGTATTCTAATCTGTTATCTGATCCTTTCAATCAGGGATGTTTTTAGATTGATGCATCCAAATGATTATATTCCTTCTTTGAATTTGTAGTTTAGTATGGAACACTAATTTCTACTTTTCTTTTACTTTTTATAGGTCAAATGTTACATGCAACAACTTCTTAGAGGACTTGATCATTGCCACACTCGAGGTGTTCTACATAGGGATATAAAGGGTTCGAATCTTCTAATTGACGATGAGGGCACCTTGAAAATTGCAGATTTTGGTTTAGCAACTTGTTTTGATCGTGAGCAAAGCGTTACATTAACCAGCCGTGTAGTGACTCTTTGGTATCGGCCACCAGAACTTTTACTTGGAGCAACTCACTATGGAGTTGCGGTAGACATGTGGAGCGCTGGTTGCATACTTGGAGAATTATATACTGGCAAGCCCATCATGGCCGGTAGAACCGAGGTACAAAATGACTTGCTTTGACCATTTGACCCATAAACTTTTCTTTGTTAAAGTAGCAAGTTTTCACGTGAATTGTTTTTCTTTTAGGTGGAGCAATTGCATAAAATTTTTAAGATTTGTGGTTCACCGTCTGAAGATTATTGGAGGAAAGAAAAATTACCTCATTCAACGGTATTCAAACCTTTACAGCCTTATAGGCGGCGTATCACAGAGGCGTTTAAGGATCTTCCCCCTACTGCTGTGGGACTAATGGAAACGTTACTTTCTATAGATCCTGCACAAAGAGGAACTGCAGCAAGTGCTTTAGAGAGTGATGTAAGTTTCTCAGCCAAAAAGCGTTTGTGAATAATTTCGTAGTTTAATAATAAGAACAACAACAATAATAATCTTACATTCAATTGTACTATGTATACTACTTTTGTTCTTGTAAATTCCTTCTAATTCTTAACCCTTGATTGCCATCTTTTTTACAATTTAAAATTGTGGTTTCCTGCTTAACATTTTTTTTTTGGTCTGACAGCTTTTCACAACGAAGCCCTTCGCCTGTGATGCTTCAAGTTTGCCAAAATACCCTCCCAGCAAGGAAATTGATGCAAAATTGCGTGAAGAAGAAGCTAGAAGGTAATCTTCTTGTATATTTCGTCACATATACACAATTAACTTTACTAGCAATTCTCTGAATTCGCTAAATGAATAAAATTGAGCATCTCTAGTTTTTATACTTTGTTCTTCTCATCCGTAAAGAATCTAAGAATTACTCTCTGTTATTGTTTCAAATAGGCAAGCAGTCCTCGAAGCTAAGAAGGGTCAGATGAGTGATAAGCGCTCAAGAGGAGGGTCAAAAGAGATTAGAGGAGTTTTGGCGTCTAATGTTAATGCCATGCTGACTAGGCCGATGAAGGTATTTAATCGGACATCAATTGCAATATATTTTTGTTAGGGAAACGTATAGAGCTCAAGTTCGTTATTCTACTTTCTTTATAACAGATGAGGCAGCACAAGCCTAATAGCAAGAGCATAAGCGAGCAGTTCAACCCACAAAAGGAAGCTAAATCTGGTTTTCCTATTGATCCGCCACAAGCTGTAAGAGAAACTTGCAAGGATCATCCCGAACCTCTTTCTGAGAGGTTTTCTCATTCCGGACCTCTAGCACCGGGGATGCAGTGGGCAAATTCCGGGAAGAAATATGATGATATTTCCATTGGATCGATTAGAGCCAATTTATCCAAATTAACTGGTTTAGTAGCATCAAGGTCAGCTTTGCCTGGGGATTCTGGTGTTTCACGTATGGATTCAGCAAATGAAATTGAGGTGCCCGTGGAATTACTCGAAGCAGCCGTGAGGAACCAGGATGAAAAGCATAAGCATTACGTGCAGAACTTTGCTGGTTCCATTGAAAGCAGAAAGTCCAGTGCCAAGGAACCTGTTCCGGTGAGTTTCATATTGACGATCTTAATAATACCTCAACTGTGCGTTATTTAGCTGCACTTGTGTGTTAATTAGCTGTTGTTTACTTTGGTAGCACGGATGTGGAGTTAAGGGAAACAAGGCCCATTTTTCTGGTCCACTACTCGTTTCATCCAACAGAGTCGAACAATTGCTGAGAGAACATGATCGTCGCATCCAGGAAGCTGCTCGACGATCGAGGATTGAGAAGGCGAGACTTGACAGGGCCCACGCGCAAGGAATGCAAACAGCGGGTAATTCTATATACATCTCCAGTCTGGGGAGAAGGTAGATTAACATCAGTTGATTTCTTGTGTAAAAAATGTAGAGTAGATAGTGAGATCATGTACAGTTGTTTAGGAAGGGATGAATAGCCAGTCACTGCATATCAGCATTCTTTAGAAAATCATTTCCTTTTTGTCATCTTTATGAATATAATGTGAATTGCCATTGTGTTCTTTTGCCCAAAAATCTGCAGTATTGAGCCCTCTGAAATGGAGTTGAAGTCAGTTTGTGAGCCTGTGGCCATCTTGATTCTTGATACTGGCATAACAGTGAATACTCTCATTTTTAAAAGTAGGTCATACTTCCACATTACTAAATTTACAATTCATTTACTATTCACAGTACATTCCTGCAAATCCAATCAACTTTAAAATTCTAATTTCATAAACTATAATAAAACATTAAGTATTAACAAAAAAAAAAAAAAAAATATAAAGTAAGCTTGCAACAGATGCAAACTTGCTACCCACGTATACATAAAAATAAAAAAAATTTTATTTTTTAATCCACATCATTTAACAAGTGGAGTCTTAGCTGGATTGAGGACAGCCTTATAAGTCACCATCTTGGTCCAAGTTGATTAATTGAGTAGCACATTTATTGTCATCCGCGTTGAATGTTTGATTTTTATTTTTCTATCACCAATCTTCAACACTCATGAATGATATGAATATGATGTTCTTGGCCACCTCATTGTCATCTTCCTTTACAAAGCAAATAGGCAATGGCTTGAGCTCAGAGCCCAGATATTTATTCTAGAATTTACCACGAAGACCAACAAGCACCAGTGGTCTAGTGGTAGAATAGTACCCTGCCACGGTACAGACCCGGGTTCAATTCCTGGCTGGTGCAAAACATCTTTGTGTCATTTTAATCCTGCATAACACACCTATAAATAGGTTTTGTCTCTTATGATGTTCCTCGGAAAAGGGGAAAAAAAATTCCTATTAATTGTATAAAGTATAAACTCTTCAACACTCATGAATGATAGGAATATGATGTTTTTGGCCACCTCATTGTCATCCTCTACCAAAGCAAGTAGGCAATGGCTTGAGCTCAGACCCCAGTTCATTTTATTTCGATTGTATTGTAAAATATACTACGAAGATCAACAAGCACCAGTGGTCTAGTGGTAGAATAGTACCCTGCCACGGTACAGACCCGGGTTCGATTCCCGGCTGGTGCAAAAAGTTGATGTCTTTTTTTTTTGTCATTTCAATCCTTCTCTCTGGGTTCTGTTTTTCCACATAATACTATAAATAGGTTTTGTCTCTTTATAATGTTCCTCGGAAAAGAAAAAAAAACATTCCCTATTAATTATATAAACACTTCATATACCCATATATTTAATATGAATTGATGGACTTTCCAATTGATCATAAAGAAATATTTAATGGTCATTAACTTGTAGCTCAATGAGATATCGGTATTTCACAGGTTTGAATCTTAGTTGGACATTAACTCTTTGTATATTTGGATTAATACTTTAAAATAATAAGATTAAAATACCTTTTGTATCATATTTATCGGATAAAAATCAATCTTAATTATTCATTTGGAGTTGATTAATTATATACGTGGGACACTCAAATAATCAACTAATCTTAAAAGAGTAAAAAGATTAAAATGTTACATTAATTCGCGCCCTCGTAACCTTCAATGCCCTCATAACCGTTTTTTTTTTTTTTTTTTTTGGAGTTGCTAATTAGTTAATGATTGAGGGATTTCAAGATAATTGTGAAAGAGAAAAGAAAAGAAAAATTATGAAAACCTTGTCATAAATAGATAATATTTTAGATATAGTACAACTATGAACTTTGTAATATAATGGATAATGATATAAGCTTTTCTATTATCGAATTTCTTTAATCATTGTAATTATGGATGTTTCATAGTGGGGGATGAGTGTTGTTTTAAACCACTAAGTTTACCAACTTGTATGTCATTTAATGGAGAAAAAAAGGGAAATAAGTTCTCAATATAATTCAACCGATCAATCAACTTAATAGTCATGTACAAAGTTTTGAAAAGATGCATGTATGAAATTAACTTTATTATAAATAATAGTGTATAAGCAATTAAAAATTTGTAGGCCGGTTAATGAATCATCTCGCGATTACTTTCTCAGATCCATCCGTCCCTAAGATATGAGTGGTAGTGTGATACACGAAATGACTCTAAAAGAAGTTACTAATCAAATTTAATGAGAACAACGAATAAGTTTATCATATAAGGTAGGTCCCAGTTCTTGGAATGGATTAGAAAGTATATTAGAGCTAGGTTCTGTTAATTAGCAATAATGAATTATTTTTTGGTATGCATAAGTGCATAACCACTACATATAAACCTGTTGTATCAACACCGCAATCTTAAAAAGTAGTACGAGATTATCTCAAACTGTGGGTGACCAAACACACAATATATTAAAGAACATCTTCATATCTAAACTAAAATACGCAAATACTCATCATTAGCGCAGCTGTAAGCCTGTAACGTTGTTAATTAGTTTTACTAATTATTTTAATTCATGTTGGACTCATTAATTAAATTAGATTCGCTAGGATCATATGTGTACGTTCAATTCAAGTTGTTTATTGAGTAATATAAAGTTTGGTACTAGGTAATTTGATTACTGCAATTTAATTAAGGTTAATGATGCTTACATGCATCAAGTTGTTGAAAATGATAGTTTCCTGCCCTTTGAGAAGTCCCATTAGCCCTGCGTCATTATGGAATTGAAGACCATGTTCTAGATTCCAATTTTCATTTCATTTATGTTAACTCAAAATTAAACACCATTCTAAACTTATTAGCTTATTCGTCGTATAAATGTATAATATCGTATAGTTGTACAGAGATGAAAAAGTAATGTAGTACGTGATGTTATTGATAATCTTTAGGACTCCAGTACAAATTTAGTTTATAGTTGAGCATATATGAGTGGCTCATATATATTAGTTGTGATATATGTCAGGTAACAACTTAACCTTCAAGACAATGATAGACTAATGTGATGTTTGTGCGATCAAAAACTGACCACGGAAGTCGGGAAGACTTGGAAGAGATTGGCCAGCTTCTTTATACTGTATATGATCCTTATATATGCTCTGTATATTCCTATCAAACATATATTCAAGTTTAAAAAATAAAAATTATTTGTGAATAGGTAGTGAGATCAGCCGCCTGTCTATCGGCTCTAAAAAACTGAGAAACCGGAAGCCGCTCACATATTTTTGATGCTTCCCAGATTCCAGTATCTACCAAACTTCCAGTTTCTCTCTCTGTACAGATGTGAATTATAAACCGTTGATCATATATATTCGCATAAAGAATTGGAATATAATCTGTACAAGTAGTAGTCATTCTTCTCATAAATCATGACAGAGTTACAATTATTAAAAATGCTTCAATCTGGTATGTTGCTAGGCTGGCCTCGCATTTTATATTATGCTGATCAGGAACAAGTTGTTGCAGTTGGCCAATGATCGAGGTTTAGGTTTTAATTTGTTTATTCTTAATACCTCCAATTCATTTAGGATATAGACACTAACCTTGGTTCCTACTTTACTATAATGTTAGTTTCAACTACGGAGTATATCTTAAAAATTTTGATTTACATCTTCCGGAGTCACTACCTGACCTAAAAGTGTACTTTGAGTGAAATTCACATGATGACTATATTCGACAAAAAACCACAAAAATATAAGCTAACTTAAATTGTTCATAGTTGACGAGTTGAGACTCAAATTGAAAAGTTAAGACTAATAGGCTACTCTCACTAATAGTCAAATTTAAAACTTTGTGGTTATCAAACTAATAACCCGATCAACTCGGTTGAGATTGTCCGCTTAAAAACTAATTCAAATTATTACTTGAGAAGATAAAAATTGAAATCCAAATAAAAGTTTTGAGAATTACATGTGTTCATATTAGATAGAGGCTATAATCATTATCCATATATAATTTAGGGATTAAAAGTATACTTTTGGTATTAAATGGGTGTGAATTATGACGTAGATAAAACAATATATGTGTCAATGTCTTGAAAGAATCTGGGTTACCAAGCGGTGACTCACTGAGTCACTGGTGCCAACTTGTCCAAGCTGACATGGAAAAGTGGAAACTCAATTGCGTAAGCAACATTAATTATTGAGAAAAGATAAATTAAATAATCAAAAAGAGAAAACGACAGACACTTTTATGATTAAGCCTAAAAAAATTAAAGCCACGTCAGCAGGACGACTGCCATGTCCGCGGCGAATTGTTCGTCCACCTGGGACAAGTGGGCCCGCGTGGGCCCCAATGGCTCAGTATAAATGTAGGCCAAAATTCCGGTAGGTGAGAAATACCCAGGCAAATACCTTAATCAAAGGGTGAGCATTTGTCTTAATTCTTAAACAGGTTGGGTCACATGTCCGGATCAACGGCTAAAACTCCGATAAGTCATCGGAGTTTAGACAAATTTTTTAGCTACTCCGGTGAACCCAAATACGAAACCAATTTAAAATTTGAATTTTTAGACGAAAATCTTGAATTTTCAGAAACTTCATTTGACTCCACCGATCTTAATACAATAAAAATAGTGGATGAAGAAGACGACGAAGAACATTCCGGCGATAGCGCGGAGAACAAGGCCTTTTGGGAATCAAAAGAGGAGCTTCTACAGGTATCTTGATCTTTAATTTCCTTTCAAATTATTAATATAAAATTACATTAAATATATATATAATTTTATAATACGGATTATGTATTATTTATTATTTTAATTTGCAGGCAAATATATGCCGGACAACCTTTTTTGAGTCGGAAATCAGAAAGGCTACAAAGGAGGCTATAAAAGAGTTGAACTTAACCGGAGCTACTTGCACCTGCCGGAAAATGGTCGCCGATATTTGTCGGTGCTGTATGCAGAAAGAAATCTCTCACCGCCTTCAAAGCTCAGGCTATAACTGCACTATTTGCAAATCCAAGTGGAAAAGCACACCGGAACTTCCATCAGGTATATATATAAAAGTCATTTTTAGTAACATAGTTAGTTTATCAGCCAAAATTGACTTATTTAATCACTATTAGCTGTTTGATTAATTAGCTTCTTGTAACACTTTATTGCTCTAAAATATTAAAATTTAAAAAACTGTTCACAATAATTTTTTTGATCAATTTATTTAGATAATCATTTTGCATGTAATCAGCTATAGTTAACAACTAATTTACCAAATATTTGTATACAATCAACTAATGCTATCAACTAGTCAACCCCATTAACTCAATCAGTTAACAGTTATTTACCAAACAACCCAAAGATATGCTACTGCAATATGGTTGAATAATTATGTGACATAATTAAATTATAAAATAAAAATAAAAATATTTCAGGTGAACATACTTATATGGAAGTGGTGCAAAAATCAAGTTCGAAGAAAGGGGCGGTGAAGGTGATCATAGAGTTGAATTTTCGAGGGGAGTTTGAGATGGGGAGAGCGAGCGAAGAATATAATCGTTTAGTAAAAAAATTGCCGGAAGTATACGTCGGAAAAGTTGAAAGGCTTCAATCTCTGATAAAGATATTATGCGCAGCGTCAAAGAAGTGCATGGAGAAGAAGAAAAGGCATTTGGCTCCATGGAGGAAGCACAAGTACATGCAATCTAAGTGGCTGGGCTCGCCTGAGCTTAAACCGGAGGACAACTTTCCGGTGAAGCATTCGGAGCGCCCGCCGCCGAGGCCAACGGCTTCCATGCTCACGTTCGACTTGCTGGACAGTTTACCGCCCATGCATTTTACGCCGGCGATCAGAGTTGTTTGATGCCGCCGTCGTTTAATTTGTACGTGTTGTCGTGTCTTAATTAGTTTCAGTGTGGAATATTGAATAATAATTTTGGTTCACACATGTGAATCAAATTCGGAATACTTCGTACTTGGTAATGGACCAATGGTAATGAGACACTATAATAGGAATAAAAGTTTTAAAAATGAAAAATCTTAAGGTAATTAATCATAATATAATAACATTCAATAATGCATAAAAAAATTAAAATAAAAATTTAAAAGTAAGAATTTAAACCAATAAGATGGAATGATACATACCCTTTTTAATTAGGAAATATCTTTTTTAAATTAAAGATGTTCAAATCTCATAATTGTGTTTTAAAAAATTGTCAACTAAATACTAACTTTAATTTTAATTTTCCCATGAAACAAACACACTCTTAATGTAAATTGGTCGGAAATGTATACTCAACTTATTTTCCCGTGCCAGAACCCATCTTATAACCTAATGCACACCTTCGTATATCTAAATGGATAATTTTTTTAGTCAGTTTTTTTTTTTTTTTTTTTTTTAAAAGAAAGTTGAAAATAAGATATTTGTCATATTTGAATTGAATTGGATAAAAAGATAAAGGAGTGGCAAATCATTATTATTATTTTGTAATGTAAGGTAAAATAAAATACTACTCCGTAATTAATAATTAAGAAGCAAACACATCGGCAACAAAGGAATGAGACTATTTCCAAACTTCTAGACCTGACCCGAAATTCTAGATAGAGAATGAGCAATTAGGTTAACCAATTATTCAACATAAATAACACGTAATAAATCAAAATCAAAATGCCTCATAAAACCAGTTTATATTGATGATAGAACTAATAAAATCGTTAATTTAAAAAAAAAAAATTAAAACAATGCATGTCTAAACACCAACATAATTTATTATACTAAGTTATTTTATAAATTATTTTTAACCATGTTAACCAAAAAGAAAAATTCATACTCTAGTCATCATTATCACTAATGTGCTATAGCCTATACTGCTATGGACGACACTTCCAAGTTCCAAGCCCTATGGGGTCTATCTCATATGGAAATTACCTAATAAGTAGAAACATTACATTGACGAATTAGGGCTAGTCGATCATATATACATGGTTTTAGCTTTTAATGCTATTTAGTATTTATCCCTCTTAAATTTCTCCAAATATATAGTAGGTCCCATGATTTACGCCCCTACTGACCCCACACTTTTAATTAAATGCTAAATAGTCCAATTAAATTATATTGTGTCACATTAGCTATCACATTAAGAAGGAAAATTAAAAGGACAATTTTTAGGAGAAGTACTTATCATTACTCTTTTATAATATGTTTGGTTGATACTGTTGTACTATGAAGACAAGAGTTAGTTAACAATACTTAATTAGTACAATAATTCCACCCTAGCCCAAAAGTATACATGATTTCACCTAATGCAAAACAGCATCAGTGTTCACATGCATCTTATATTGTTTAACAAGGTCATATTCAAATGTCATTATTTCTTATATTAAATTATTAATTGATTATTGATAAGTTAATTGATCTTTTTTAAACACTCATGATTTATTATAATGTAGTATCTATTCTATACTTTATCAATATTTTTTAACCCAAAGAATCAATGCCCCAATCGGTGCTCGATCTTGTAACAACTCATTAGGAATGATATAAGATGTGTCATTATACTACATAGTAGTTAACAAATTAATCTTTTTTTTTAATGCTACTGACTCTATTAGTTTAATTAATATTATTTAAACTAACTAAATTAAATGATTTTATATGATGTAAGAAACGATATAAAAAATGCATACAAAGGTCTCCGAAACTTAAAATATTTGTATTCATATTGTTTTGTCCATTATATTAAATGGAGTAATAAACTTCAAAAAATCATAATTATAGGGATTAATTCCAATTTTTGCCCATCAACTTTCTTTTTCACCTACAGTCATCAACATACATATAAAATCTATTGTCGATTTTACCAGACGTGAAAGATTAAAATTATAATTAATTAGAATATAATTAAGTAAATTAGAGGATAAGAAGGAAAATGTCGCATTCAAAGTTAACATAAAAAATGCCATTATCCAGTGTAAGGCAGTGTCCGCAGTGACAGGGAAAAGAGATACGAAGTCATTTTAATCACAATAATAATAGTTAATTAAAAAGGAATCAAATTAAACTCATAAAAAAGTTGGGGGAAAGGGTATAAAAGTGAAAGGTAGGGTTTCTTTAATTTGATTTTAATGTTGACAAACTGCGGACAAGCTAAAGTCTTCAATAGTTTTCCCCATTTTTAATGTGATTTTTGGAGTATCTTTTGTGGGAATCATCGTGTAATCCAAAACATGTTACGTGACGAATCCAAAAGTGTTTTCGTGCATGGTAGGTCTATGTTATCCATTTCTTTGGTTAAGACTTTGGCAGACACAATAATTTGTGTTTATTAAATGTTAAATGGCCGCCTGATGGAGTGATTTCTTTTCAATTTCATATTAAACGAGAACTAGAATTTTAACTTGATTTTGTGTAAAAAAAAATGTTAACTAATAATGATCAATAGTTATAAAATAAGAAAAATAATTGATCAATTTCATATATATATATAAACTTTGAAAATTTGTAATATTTATGAAATGAACATGTCTTTTTTTTTTTTTTTTTTGTTTACCTCTTACATTTTATATTTTACAATATTTACCAGATCAATGACTAGTATTTGTCCCGACTTTTCATGGAAAGCAGATCAGGGAACAATAAGATTATCTATTAGGAACGTTCTCAATTCAATTGTACGGAGTAAATTATCTGTAGTTGCACGAAATCTCGTTTTAGTTTCGAATCTGATAGGGTTTTCAATTCGTTGCGATCCGTGGCAACTTCAAGAATTCACGAACAATCTTCAATGTAGCGTGTCTAGCTAGCTACGCCCCTAGAAAGATTACAAGATAGAACTCCAAATAATATTTCTAAAGAGTTAAAGAAGGTAAGAAGTTAATCAAGGATTAACACATACACATACTTTGGGTGTATGCAAAGGTGATGCTTGAAAATAATTCAAGGAATTCATTGAAAGAATAAAGGGGACGATCATTTTTGTACATGTCCAATAAAGAGTTGTCTTTACTTATAGGATTTGGATCTTGTTATGTGTCCAATTGGCATTCTTAATTGATCTGTAGGTTGATTCGTAACAAGCCTTGTTCAATTCTCATGGGAGTTTGGACACACACACAGACATAGTCCCATTCAAGTGAGATCATCTCTTAACGTGATAACATGTGGACTTCTTTAGTAATGCAAGGTAAATTCTTCATGAATGCACAATAACTAATTCAACTCCGTGACTACTACATGAATGCACTAAAACTATCACATGAATGCATAGTAATTACTACACGTTAAATTTTTAGACGAAGAAACACGTCTGATCTTTAATTCCTAAAGAATAGCTCATCAATGTAAGGTACTTGATTTTGACAGAAATCACATTATTGAGTCATCATTTTCCAATTGAAAAACCAACTTCATATATACACTATTGGAAATTATGGAATTTCCGACCACCTGAAAGTGATCTTAAATCAAATCTAAAGTAAAAAGTGGTCGGAAATAGCTATAAAGGTTTTTCCGGACACCAAAAGTGGTCGGAACAAGACTTTTGACTTGATTTAAGATCATTTTCAGGTGGTCGGAAATTTCATAATTTTCAGCAGTGATATAATCTTGGGAGGTTTGGAATTAAGCCTGTAACACCGATATATATTTGGAGCATATGCATGCCAGTGGATCAGCCCCATAGTACGTGTCCTAACACCTTAGTATAAAGAAATTTTCAAAATAAAATTATACTATATAGTTGTTGTGTGGTATGATATAGGTAGATTGAGAGGGTTAATTTTTTTTTTTAAATGATAAATCACATTGAGAAGACTATGTGCCTTATGTTTGACCTAGAGATTGTTAGACAAAGAAAAAAATTAAATTCATTATCTTAAAATACAAGAATGATACTCCACTCACTTAATCACCTTTCTTAATTTAATTTATATGCTTGTGGCTGTGGTTTCTTATTCTTGGTTGTGGGCACAAGTAAATGTGTAACTGATCTGGCATAGCGATGACTTATACTTTACAATGGTTAAATATGCTAACTCTCAACGAACAAACAATATTAAGGGGGTCCAGAAAAATAAATTTTAAGAAATGTTACACATCATAAATAGGACATCATATCCAAATTACAATTATTGACATCAAGAACATAAAATAAAATAAAAAAACATGTTTTTGAACTTTTTTGATTGACATCATATAATGTACAATTTTTTAAGAATAATATTTTACTTTGAAAAGAATTTAAATTTTTAATTGTTAATTTTGGTATGACTTATAAAAAAAAAAAAATCAAATGTCACAAACATACAATTATATTTTAATTTGGATGTTGTCTCTTGCCAGAAATCATAGGATGCATAGTTAAATCAATTACGAGCAACCTATGTTGGTTTATCTCATACTGATTTTTTATTGATTAAAGTCATAATGCAAGTTTCACTCAAAACACATATTTAGGTAGCTGCTCCTTAAAAATTTGGTCATGGTTCTTGGCCAAGCTGCACAACCAATCAACCATCATCATTTTTTTAAAAAATTAATTGATTAATAAAATTTTATAAATATTAAAAATGTAAAAGTTGGATTGACATGGTTATGTCAATAAAATGACACACATATATATATATATATATATATATATATATATATATATATATATATATATATATATTTAATCTAAGGGAGGGCCAAGCCTGATGTCACAATAAAATGAAATATTTTGATATATACCACATTAACAAACTTGTCATCTTTATTATTCATCACTTGTTTTTCAAACAATTTTTTATATTATATTATTTTTGTATAATTTAATATTGTGATGGGTTATACACCAAGATTATTAGTACATGCAATAACTCAGATACCACCCAGATCTTATCTAGGTACTTTAATTTCTATCTAGAGCCCATAAAATTGGTTGCTAAAACTCAAGTGAAATCACGAAAACAGGTCAATTATGCTATCATTGCTCCAGAGACATTATATTAATATCCAACACGCATCACAACCGATCTAATTAGCCACTAGTTACATTATATTCTATAACATACATTAGACCGATAGGTAGAATTATGGGATTACACTCGGTGCTTCCTTGATATAAATAAAGACCATCACTAGCTAGCTAAATAATCTTACCTTCACTTCACAGTACATTTCCTAACCTAGCAAACAAGCCTCTTGAGTTACGTTGATCTTATATATATTTAGGGCTTGTACTTTAACTAATTGACATTATAAATATTAAATACTAAAAACATCTTTTACACGTATAACTACATCCTACCTCAGATAGATTTGTGTTCTACCTTGTACTTTGTAACATATAGATCTCATATCTAATAACTAAATATTTAAATTTTATAACTAATATTGAACTAAATATATTTTTAAAAAATCATAAATAACTTAAATCTAAGATTTACTTTTCATTATATTAAACATTATTTTCGCATTACGTATTCAAAATCATATTCAACAATAAGATGAAGTGATTAGAAGCTAGCGATAGGTTAACTACATGAAACGACCATATATACTAAGTTTGGGAGGTTTCATTTGTACGTATTATTACTATATAAATATATATATGAATTCTTTTTTGTAAATATATTCATTTAATAAATTATTATACAGGGAAAAGTTGGGGAAGAAGCTACAATTGGCTATGGTGACCTGGAACCAAGATGCCATTTATCCAGTACGTCAATATCATATCAACTTCAGTTAGTATATTATATATACTATTTGTAGAACCAATTATCGTGTAAAAGATTGGAAGACAACCGTTTCTCGGCGATTCGTCAATGTTAAAAAATGAACTAATTAAGGGCCCCGGGCCCCTGGTTTTATTGGAGAAAATTAAGCACGACCATGATGTCTTATACCACTGCTTTTGTATTATATATATATCATTATAGCAAAATTAAGTGACGTAGATGTAATGAATTATAATGGACTTAGTCAATTATGATGGTTTGAGATAAGGACTGAGATGATTACTTGGAGTAGATGATCGAACAAATTAAAAGCAGTAGATCAGAAGCGGTCTATATATTGGCCTTGGTTTTTTGTTTTTTGTTTTTTGTTTTTTTTATTTTGTTTTTTTTTTTGTTATATATTTTATTTTATAAATATATAAAGAAATTAGTTAGTTGACAAAGATTATAAATTAATTATTGTCATATTATTTTTGTTTATAATGAAAAAAAAGGGAAGTAATTAATTTAAATATGTGAGTGAATAATTTTGAGATAACATTAATATATATTGACTAATAAATATGATATGACCAATCAAATTATCATAATTTTTTTTGAATGCTACTGACTCTATTAAATTGTCATAATATTTGTTTGAATTATTTTGACAAATTTTTAGTTTTAACAGAGATTAATGAAGTCAATTATAATTTAAAGGAGTTAATTGAAGGGCAGTTTCAGTCGAGTTGGTCAGACAATTGACTTGGTATCCCCCAATGAGTTAAGAGTTGTCTATTGACCTTTTTTATTTGAGCAGATCAATTGTAAGGTAATATAGGATGATTTGCATCCTTGTAATCTTTTGATGATTAACCTTACAAGACATGTTTCACTAAAAGCGCATCTTCAAGTAGTCGTAGCTATATTAAGTTTAGTTTCATGCAATTAGTCTAATTTATAGATTTTTTAAGTTTATAATATGTCATTTCAAATTTAAAATATTTTTAAAAAATAATTATTTAAAATAAAACAAAATCATCTTCATGCCGGAGACGAAGAAGGTTCGTCTTCGACCTTGGAGATGAAGAAACCTTCGTCTCTAGCAGGAGTCGAAGAAGATTTATTCGTTTCCATGACTTGAGATGAAGAGACTCCATGAAAAAAATCAATATTTTCTTTCTAAGTTTAGAGTTGAATAAGCATTTATGTTTTTTTATAAAGAATATTAAATGAAAAAACTCAAATTCAAAGTCAAGGATGAGCTAACAAACTTGGCGTGGAATGCAAGTACCCTCTGCAATTCCTAATACTACCTTCTATGTTTCTCTGCAATTAAACACTACTTTTACTCGGTCGCCCACCAATTCCACCGTCTAAACCCTGCCCTGCCCCTCCTCCTATCAAACTATAAAACCACATTTAGCCACTAGAGAGTAGAGACCGACACACTTATCTGAACCTGCACACATATATATATATATGTCAATACAATGGAGCCAGAAAACAATACCGTTACACAACCCAACTTCCCTGTTTCTAAGGAAGATCATCCCTTCTGTTTAGTTGAACGTTTCCTGCCCCGTCAACATCCCACATTCACCCCATTAATCCGCCAGGCAGAGAGCCATTATCAATGGTTAAAGCACCAGCGAACTCAAACCAGCAATGAGTTACAGCAAAAGAAGGTACTGAAGGTGTTTGGTAAATAACTGTTGGCTGATAACTATTAGCTGACTGTGTTAGCAAGATTGATTAGTTGATAATATTGGTTGATTGTAGTGAGATATTTGATAAATTAACTGTTAATAATAACTAATTATATGCAAAATGACTTTTTAAAAAAGTTAAGTTGAGGAGCTTTTTGAATTTTAGCTTTTGAAAGCAATACGTTATTACAAAAAGTTAATTAACCAAACACTTATATCGATTGTTTAACCAAGTCAAACAATTGTCAAAAAAGCCAAAATTAGTGATAGGCTAACTATTTTACCAAATAGGACCATTGTTTTTCCAGTGAGTGACACTGACGAGTGATTGAAAATTCACAGCCAGTATTTAGAGGTGTGCATTAGATAAACCTCTAAACATCTTTAGCCGGCAACAGATCACAATAATTGTTGCTCCTAGGACATTCACACTGAAAAGGTCAACAAGTCATTGCCGAGGAGAGTCAAACTTGTAACTTTATAGTTACAAGTTGGCCAACTGTCTCTTATATCTCATATTACTGTGGCGTTATCATTGAAATATGATTATTGATCCATCCTCAGACACGTGTTGCGGGGGTAAACTGCAGGAGTAGCTTGAATGATGTTACAAATTGGGCAATTAAGCGTAAAAAAGGTCTCCAATGTTTACTGGGAAAAATTTCAGGGTCGGAAAATCCTCGACGGCTGAAAGATGCAGAGACATGCTCCTCAGTTAACGAGCTTGATGGCTTTGTATGTGAATTAAACTCGAGACCTTTGTATTATATATAATATGAATCACATGATAAATGCAAATTTTATTAATTGGCATTGATGTTTAATTTGTGCATATATATAAAGATTCGGAAGCTGCATAGCAAGTTGCAGCATGGGAGCAATAAACGAGCTGAGGAGAAGAATCTGTTTGAAGAAATAAAAAATGCAGAATTAAGAAGACAAGATCTCATAGCTGCTGCAAACAAAACCCCGCAGGCTTCCAGTAGGGAAGAAAGAGTTCAAGTGAGACAAACATTAATCTTCTGAGCTTATTATATCTACACTAACAAGTGAATGCATATATTCATATATACTGAGATCGAGTTCGAAACATCATGTTTTTGGTTATAACTTTGTTGAAATCAATGCAGAACATAGTCCAGGAAATTGAGCAATTGAAGACGGAAGACATGGCATTCAGGACTCAACTGCAGCAATATCGCAGAGATCTTATGGCGACAGAGAAAGATATCAGACGTTTGGAGAAGAAATTGACGGATCTAAACGTCAAGAAAGCTCAAGTGTTTCATCGCATTCTTCAACTCAAGAAGATTAGGGATGCAGAAGCAGAAACATGAATATATGTAGTACGATTTTTTTTTTTTTTTTTTATAGAATTACTCAAACAATATCAATTTCAATCGAGTGTTATATTTAGACATTTAGTTAATTGCCAAAAGGTTTGATTCTTCATTAAACGATTAAACAATAGTTAATTAAATTTGAATTATGTAATGTTTAATGCTCAGAAAATAAGAAATTATACTTATAATCAAAGTAATCAATCAGTCTTGAAATTAAACCCTATTTAATTGAGATTTGATTAATTCAAATCTGATACGTAAGGCAAAATGTAGAAGAGTGTAATAAACTATATATATAAAGAGGAGTTTTAAAAAGGAAGAAATTAGACGGAAAACACTGAAACCCATTGCGAAGAAGCAAAAATCTTGAATGTCTTTGAACGCCTTCAAGGAGGCCCTCAAGCCCTGCAATAATCAATCCTCCTCGAATTCCTCCCAAACTTCATTGATTTCTACTCAGTTTGATTCATCCGCTGTAAACCCTAGAAAGCCCCCCAAATCTTCTCTTTCACGCCAGCTTCTTCTCCTTGAAGATTCCTCCACCTCTTCATCCTGGACCCAATCACAGAGACCCCAAAAGCAGACCCATTCCAGCATTGGAGTCAAAGATGAGAAAGAAGAGGAAGAAGAAGAGAAGCCCCTGACGTTTGGGCGGTCAAAGTTGGAGTCTTTTGTTCTTGATCACACCGGGCCTTATGAGCCTTTGGTTCTGTCTCCTCCCGGAGAAACACCACTAGTACAGGTGATTTTGCCGTCTAATAGCGAAAGAATTGATTTTGTTCATCTTTCTCTTTAATTTTAGCACATTTTCAGTTTCATTGCTATTTTCTCCCATTGCACATAGTTCAAGTTTATGTGGAAAATGGAAGAGTTTATATAGTTTCCAATGCTTGAATGAGCTGCGAGCTTAGGGGGAGTAAAAGAAAGAAAGAAAGAAAGAAAGAAAGATTATAATCTTGGGATAATTTCATCTTTTGGACAAGGAATAGTGGTGGTGTCAATGAGATATTTAAGGTTACTAAACATCTTTAAATTTGAAACCCTTTCTGGTTGTTTAATTCGTTCCAGATTTCCATTGCTCTTCAATGTACCTTCTCTACTAGTAACTGATTCATCATAAATTGCCTTATTCCTTTCTTGGATCCAGTATGTTATATTATGCTAATTTTCAAACTTCATCTGAGCTGCTGAGCTTTCTCTTTTGCTTTTGTAGGTACCAGCATCTATTAATTGTAGACTTCTGGAGCATCAAAGAGTGGGAGTTAAATTTTTGTATGGTTTATACTGGAACAACCATGGAGGTGTTCTAGGAGATGACATGTTAGTTTCCTTCCCACTCTTCGTTTTGATTGTACTAATGGATTTAACTTAGCCTCTCTGCGTTCTCCCTTTGCAGCATGATGTGGTTTTGATCTGTTCTGTGCATTTTGTCTTTCGGTTTTGCATGCATTTTTCCTGTCTAACTAGGACGTGTTCATGGATCAGGGGACTAGGAAAGACGATCCAAACCATTGCTTTCTTAGCAGCTGTGTATGGGAAAGATGCAGACGTCACTGATTCAACATCGATCTCGGGGGATCTTGAAAGGAAGGGCCCTGTACTAGTTGTCTGTCCTACTTCTGTGATTCATAACTGGGAGAATGAGTTTTCGAAATGGGCAACTTTTAGCGTTTATGTTCATCATGGACCGAACCGGGAACTGATAATTGAGAAACTAGAAAGGTACGGAGTTGAGATAACAATAACGAGTTTTGATACGTACAGAATCCATGGAAGCATTTTATCTGATGTCCAGTGGGAGATTGTGATTGTTGATGAGGCACACCGGCTTAAGAATGACAAGTCTAAACTCTATCAAGCTTGTTTAGAAATTAAAACTAAGAAACGCTACGGGCTCACGGGGACCATAATGCAGAACAAAATTATGGAATTGTTCAATCTATTCGACTGGGTGGTGCCTGGTTGTTTGGGTACACGTGAACACTTCCGCGAGTTCTATGAGGATCCCCTTAAGCATGGCCAGAGATCAACGGCTTCAAATCGACTTGTCGAGGTTGCTGATGAGAGAAAACAGCACTTGGTATCAGTTTTGCAGACGTATTTGTTGAGAAGGACAAAGGAGGAGACCATCGGACATCTTATGCTCGGGAAGGAAGACAACGTTGTATGTTGTGCCATGAGTGCATTGCAAAAGCGAGTTTACCAGAGGATTCTACAGTTACCCGATATCCAGTGCCTTATCAATAAGGACAACCCTTGTAGTTGCGGAAGTCGTCTCAAGCAAGTTGAATGTTGCAAAAGGATTGTTCCAGATGGCATTATCTGGCCATACCTTCATAGAGACAATCCCGATGGTTGTGATTCGTGCCCTTTTTGCCTTGTACTTCCGTGCATTGTCAAGCTCCAACAGGTAATTTTTAAAATTTACCCGAAACTTTTTGTGAAGCTATTGAGCATATAGCCATTAATGTGCAATCCAACTATCAGCTTAGGCTTTTAGTTGAGATGGAGCACATGCTTCAATTTGGTATCAGAGTCAGACCAAAGGTCATTGGTTGTCTATGAAAGAAGTATATTGCTCATTGGGAAAGGCTGCACTCATTTATACGTTGAATCTTTCCACAAATTGATTTCTTTTGTTTATCCTGAAATTTAAAGCTCTCTTACAGGTGAGCAATCACTTAGAGCTCATCAAACCCAATCCAAAGGATGATCCAGACAAGCAAAGAAAGGATGCAGAATTTGCGGCTGCTGTATTTGGCTCTGATATCGATTTGGTGGGTGGCAATACTCAGAACGAGAGTTTTATGGGCTTGAGTGATGTTAAACATTGCGGGAAAATGAGAGCTTTGGAAAAACTTATGTTCACTTGGATTTCACAGGGTGACAAGATTCTTCTTTTCAGTTATTCTGTGAGGTAAGTTGTCAAAGGATGTCATAGATCCATTGTTCTTCGTAGATTTTCCTTCATTGCCTCTCTAGCTTAAGTAATTCTCGTCTGACTCTCTGAGCAGGATGCTGGATATACTCGAAAAATTTCTTATACGCAAAGGATATTGTTTCTCGAGACTCGATGGCTCCACTCCAACCTGCTCGCGTCAGTCTCTTGTAGATGACTTCAACTCGAGTCCAAGCAAACAGGTAAGTTTAAACACAGAGGTTGAATAATGGAATCTAATGTTGTTGGCATGGCTTCACCTCCGTAATTTAGATTCTTCTCGCCTTTAGGTGTTTCTCATATCAACAAGAGCTGGCGGCCTTGGACTCAACCTCGTTAGTGCGAATTGCGTAGTAATATTTGATCCAAACTGGAACCCCGCTCAGGATTTGCAGGCCCAGGATAGATCATTCCGATTTGGGCAGAAGAGGCATGTTGTTGTTTTTCGCCTTCTTGCTGCTGGTTCTCTCGAAGAGCTCGTTTACTCTAGACAGGTGTATAAACAGCAGCTATCCAATATCGCTGTTTCTGGCAAGATGGAGAAGCGGTACTTTGAAGGCGTGCAGGTTGGAACTTGGAAGCCACTTTTGTCGATATATTTATGAATTTGTGTTATTCTTTAAGGGAGAAGAGAAAAATCACTGATCCAAACTACTTTTCCAGGACTGTAAAGAGTTCCAAGGCGAGCTGTTTGGAATCTGCAATCTTTTCCGGGATCTGTCTGATAAGCTTTTTACAAGTGATATTATTGAATTACAAGAGAATAAAGGCAAGGAAGACGGTGGAAGCCTTAATCTGAGTGAGCTTGGGATGCATTTTCTCCCCGAGAAATCGTCTTCACTGACATCCAAATGCCAAGAACCTAAGAAACGAGATACGAAACTCGAGCTAGAAGACCTCGGTAAGTTTTACGTTTCGAAAATGAAGTAATGTATGCCAATTACTTCTTTGAATAAATAGCAGATAATGGAACATATATATATACATCTTAGCTGATGAACTTTGGGATGTAGGTATTGTTTATGCTCATCGCAATGAAGATGTTGTTAACCTCCGACCTGTGGCAATCCCGACTAGCGAGGAACAGAATATGCAACAGCGAAAATTTGCTGGAGTTTGGAGACGGGAATTAGATGCTATGAATGGAAAAGAGAAGGCGGGAAATTCAGATGAGGTGGTGAAGATGCATAAGAAAAGGCAATATTGCCGTATCGCCCAGTTCATGGGAATGAAGGAGCTCCAGTTTAGCAAATGGATACTCTCTGCAACTCCAGCTGAAAGGGAAAAGGTGCTCAAAGATTACAAGAAGAGAAAGGAGAAAGTTCTGAATGGCTGAGATTTCTTCTTTTTTGGGGGGCTGAATCAAGTTCTACAATGTGATGTAAATATTGTTAGTTGCTTACAAATGTAGTTAGCAGAAGAAGTTGACATAAGGCTACATTAGTGCTTAAGAGTGATGAAGTTTTAAATGGAAGATAAGGGTTAAACACTTCAGTACACATGCCTGCAAATCTGCAATCCACCCACTAGAACCACAGGTTTAAGTGGATATGTCTCCAGGTAGCTCAACTGGTCACAAAAAGTGAAATTTGTCACAAGAGATTAGAATCGAGTTTCACCCGCGCCAATTTGAGAGTAATCTCTCTCAAGATAAGGAGACTTCTTATGCGTAGTAAGTAAAAGTCTAGCCTTGTTGATAAGTTGAGTTATCATGATTTATCTTTCCACAAACTGTCAGACTAAGGTATCGAGACGTTTGGAATGGCGATTCCATCTTTTGTCACAAGATTTAAGTGAATCATACATCCCCAAGTGTATAACCCACGATAAACAATAAGTCCAATCGTTATACCCTGCACCACGGCGCACATAGCACTATGCGCCCTGCGCCTCCTAAAACGACGTCGTTTTGGGAGGCGCAGTAGGGAGTTGACGTGATTATGTGTATTTGTTTATACAATTATGTGTATTTGTTTATACAATTATGTGTATTTTTTTATAAAGTTATGTGTGTTTGTTTATACAATTATGTGTATTTTTTTATATAATTATATGAAACGACGTCGTTTTGCATCAGGGTGCATAATGCAATGCGCACCCTGGTGCACGATATAAATTGCCCAATAAGTCCCACGCATGAGATGTGGAATCCACAGTAAAGCCCAGCAACACCATCAGATTGATTTGAGCCTGAATGCCCCATAAATTGGACATGGTCTCAGCTTAAGCTTTCATTGCTAATGAACTCCACCCAACAGCCTATTTTAGGATCATTATGGCAAATTACACTATGGATCAGTGATAAATGTTCATTTCTAATATACTGAAAGTTCATTATTAATGCACTGAAGGTTCATTTTTAGATGATTTATCAAATAATGAACATTAAATACACTAAAAATGAACATTCAATGTACAATAAATAACATTCAGTATATATTAAAAATGAACATTTTGTCAGTGGAGTAGTGGACCACAGGGACGGAGCCAGAAAAATACTTGAGCGGGGGCGAAGTTTAAATGACAGTTAGCAATATCAATTACGAAATATCAAACAATCATAATAAGGTTAAAATACAAAATATATTATAAATTACAATAGAAATTTTTTGATAGATTAAACGATAGTTAGAATCAGAGCAAAAAAGTATACTTGAGTGAGGTAAAAATGTAAAATAATTTGAATAAAATGAAGCATAATATAAACTTGTATACTACATTAATTAAATGATTCATAAAAAGTCGACTAAAAGAGCATTTAATTTGTTAATTAAATTATTCATAAAAGTAGGCTAAAAAATATTTATCTTGAGAAGGAATGAAAGATATAAAATAAATAAGTGAAGATGGAAAAGTGTTTTTAATGAGATTCGAACCTATAACCATACATTTTTAAAAAATTAAATTTAAAGCTCAAACAACTAAGCTACTCTAACTATTAATAAATCAAACATAAATATAAATTTTATATAACATTTAATGCTATATATGTCGATATATACATACATATATATAAAGGGGTGAGGTGGGGGAGTGGGGGCAGCTGCCCCCACTGCCCCCATACTGCCTCCGTCTATGGTGGACCATGGTCTTAAGGTGAACAAATATACAAATTTATTTTAGTATACTGAATGTTTATTTTTAGTGTATTACATGCATATTCATTTTTAATGTACTACTAATTTATTTTGAGTAATTATTATATAAAAATAAGCGTTTAATACATTAAAAATAAATATTTAATATATTAAAAATGATCGTTAATCTATGGTCCACCTTGTAATATAGATCATGGTCTACCATATAATTTGTCCCTATTTTAATGGCATTATAGTGAATTCAACTTTTAACCTTACCGCTACCGTGGTATTGAAATATTTAGTTTTTTTTTTTTTTTTTTTTTTTTTTAAAAGTTTTATATGTTATATCATTTAGTATGTTGTTTATATATGAGCATTAAAAAAAAAAAGAATATTAAAACTATGAAACTATCTAATGTTTCAAAAATTAAAGTTAATTAGATAAAATTTTAATAGATGAACAAATGTGAAAATATCATTAAAGTTGTGGACTATGTGTGGTCAAATTAAAAGTTTAGTACTAAATATTACAATGTCATATATAATAGTTGTGTGATTAAAACTGGAATGTGTTTGAAATTATGTATAGGTTGTACTTGGACTTTTACTCTTATGGGTCGTTTTGTTCACGGAATCTTGGATTACCCCAAGTAATATGATTGTCTCTATGAATGTTATGTGAGATTAAGAGAATGTAAGATTTGGTTAATTAAAGTTGTAGAAATGTAATATTACCATGCTCAAATGTAGGAATATAACATTATCATACTCACATTACTTAGGTACTCTAAGATTACTTGAACCAAACGCCTCTTTAAAGACATCTCCAATGTGCATTTTAAGGAAAGAATACTAGAGAGAGAGAGACGCTACACAATAAACTCTCATTGCATATGTAAGATCTCTAAAGAAAATAATAATACAGAGTAATAAACAACAAAATCACAACGTACAACTCACACATGCACCTAGCTAGTGAGTTGTGTACTGTGCACTTATCTACTGGGCACATGACAATTTTTATTTTCTTTTTCTTTTTCTTAAAGACGACATTTAAAAAAACAAAATCTCATGCAAGAAGAAATATTGACAATGTCCTAATTAGTTAAGTAAATTATTTTAGGATAAAAATATTGTTACTAGATTTAATTAAAACATTTCTATGATTTAAAAGATATTTAGAGCTAGTATCAAATTCACACTAGCTAGTAGAAATGTAGAATAAACAAAGATAGGATTGGATAGTAAATACTGTATTATTATTGGATATGTGAAGTTAGAAACCCTAAGTTCGTTCATTCCACCATCCATTTTTCCTTTCCCTTACTTTATTTTCCTACTTACTTTCTCTTTTTGGATTGCTTTATTCTCTTTGAATTGATTGCTTTCTTAAATTTGTGTGTTTGTTTAAATAAAGTTCAAAATTTTATACAGAAAAAAAAAAATAATTCTTGTAAATACAATTTTACTTATATGTACATTTAGTTTATTGACACAACAAGTCACAAAAATCCTTGTGTTGCATATCCATCATGTTCCCTCACCCTTACCTCCTCCAACCCAAACGTGCCTCCCATCATTGCTACATTATACCAAACATTATAGTTGCCATTCTAAATATAAATATAATGTTATGTTGTTGTTCCTCGGATCCTCACATAATCACATTGTTGGTTTACTCATTCTAAATATAAATATAATTTGATAGTTATAATATATAAGTAAATTTTTAACAATAGTTTTTATTAAATTTTTTTTAAAAAAAATATCAAATCTATTTACCAATGACTTCTTCATCAGAACAAACAAAACTTTCTTGCGTATCACTAAATTCTGGACAGCCCAACTTGGGAGAGAAAAAAGGTAGTAGCATATATAGTGAAAGACAAATCCTCCCTCAACCCTTTCTAGTGACTGAAAAGAGAATCTCTAAAAAAAAAAAAAAAAAATTAGTACGGAGTAAGAGATAATGAAAGATATTTAATTTTTTCTAAACTTTTATTCTTGCTCCCACAACTTTAATTTGTACAAGAAAGTTAGTAATTAACGTTAAAGAGCGATTAGAGTAGGTATTGGAGTGCCTGAAATACATGGAAAATAAAAGAAGTTTGGTTTGGTTTGTTTAACGAACCAATATTTGAGGGTGGAAAAAACATAGAAATTAAAATGGGAAGAAGCTAAGGTGCAGTGACGACGTACACAGTACGCAGTAATATGCTGAAAATATTTGTGCAACAAAAAAGCAAAGTACAAGAAGGGGCCAATGATTCATTAGCTTGTTGGGCGAGACAACGTTATCCCCACCACTGTTGTAGGAATCGTACCTCTCTCGCGTGCTATCCGATCCTCACACTCCCCACCCCTTACACTGTTCCTCTACACGTTTCGACCAAATAATGGACCAAACACCAAATCCTCAAACATTCGGAGGATCCTACAATGCGTGTTGTTTGTTGGCATGGAGGTTGGCGCATCGGAGCATACCCACAGGGAATCGTCCTGCTGGGGGGAAAACCTGTCTGCACAATATATATTAACTGTGTAGGGGGCCACCACTCACGAGAATTGCCAATCCTTCCCGGCCTCGTCCTTCCCATACTTTACTCCCCCCATCAACTCTTCATGATGCCGTTTTCATTATAAGCTTCAAATTTTGATATATAGGATTCTAATTACAACATGAGAGCCCGAGACCTAGCTTGTTTTCGAGACGTAGTATCTATTCGATCTATATTTTCTCAATCTCTTTTAGTCCAAAGAATTAATGTCTCATCACAGTACCATGTGACCACCCATTTGAAAAGATAATAGATGTGTCATTACACTACATAATAGTTGGAAAACTCTTTTAGACTTAAATTACATGTTGATAATTGTCATATCAAGGCTATGTTTGGCAAACTTAGCTGAAAATGTATAAGTTGAAAACAGAAGAACTGTTAACTAGCTGATTATGCTTAAAAGTGTTTCATAAAATTAACTTTTTGATAAGTTAATAAATGTAAAAAGACTAAAAATGACATTTTCATAAAATTTAGGGATGTTATTATTATATTGTTTTTATATTATTAAATATATAAGATATATTTAATTTATAAGAAAAAAGTTTGTGTTTTTATAGTATAATATATGAGATATATATTAAATTAAAACAAAAAAAAATTAATTGATAAGGGTAAATGATGTCATTTATTTATGAACGGACAATTGGAGTTGGAATTTTAAGTAGTTGTTGGGCGGTGAAGAGTTGCTGAAGAGAATGAATAAAAATATAAAAGAAAAAATACCAAAAGGGTTTAATGGGAAAGGGTAAAGAATGTCATTATTTAAAATAATAAGGATAAAAGATGGAAAAAACTTAGGGAGCTACTAGTTTATTTTTGAAACGCAACCTAAGGTAGTTTTTCAAAATAAGCTCTTATTTTAAGTTATTAGTTTATTTTTGAAACGCTACCTAAGATAGCTTTTAAAAATAAACTCTTATTTTAAGCTACTAGCTTATTTTGAAAACATTACCAAAGAAGCTTATAGCTTATTAGTAGCTTAAAATAAGCTATAAGCTCATAAATAAATTCTACCAAACAGAGTCTTATATGTGATGTCAACTCATCTTTACATTTATAAATGATATTAGACACACCAAACAACCTTTATTACACATAACTCAAACTAAGAAAGCTAATAAAGAATCATCAAGAATGGTGAAATTACTTAAAAGCTTATAATTATAAGTCAACTATCAACTTGACTCGGGTTGTCTAGTAAACTTGTCTATGCAATTTCCATGTCAATATTAATAAGTACCTTTTTCTTTTTCTATATTTATTTACTATTTGTGATTTGTGAATTAACATATATACATCACTTTTGATTAAATAATGTAAGTTCATATGATAGAGTCAATTAAAAAAAAAAAGTTTTAATATGGTGACACTATAAGTACAGGACATAATCTACTTTCTTGATGAGTAACTTACATTTGTATGCACTTTATGTGTATGAATAGGTTTGAACCTAAAATTACGATCCATCACCACTTTTACCCCGAAGACCAATGGATGAGGTACATTGCAGGATGTGTCTTAGTTAGTCTACCAATCGCCAAATGCTTGTATAATATATGTGTATTTATGTATGTATGCATGCATGTAAATATATATTAATTATTTAAACAGTAATATTATAATAATGTAGAAAATGTTGCACCGTGGATGTCTTTTTACTAGGGATTCTTGGCAACATGCAGAAACTTGCCACCGTTTGGAACCCAAAAAAAAAAAAAAAAAAAGTGACCAAATCATGGCTAAGGTAAGTCGGAAAGAATGGGTTAGACCACAGCATCTGAATTGATTCACAAATTCACTATTTTAAAGTAGGTATCGCTCTTTTTTTAGGGATTTCAAATCTTTGCCATTTGAGCACATATAATTCACACTATCTGATCTATACTACCCGCCCAAAACACACAACTGTACGTCACCCTAACAACCAGTTCAACACTATTTAGGGTTAGTTAATTAACTATAATTTGTCACTTCGGTCTGATATGATGGAACGAGTTTATTAATGTTTTAAGGTTGCATTGTCATCTACTACTCATTTGTTAATTAACTCCGTTTAGTAGTGTGACAAGCTAGATGTAAGTATGTATGATATGTCGAGTTCGACAAGAAATGTAGCTTTCAATCCCTTGCTCCCTTCCATGGCATCGCCACATAAAAAAAAAAAAAAAAAAAAAAAAAATTCTTTGTTTCTTTAACGTACGTACATTCCTTATAGCCCTCGCATAGACACACATACACATGCAAACAAAAACACAAAAGAAATTGAGAATGTGGTCCTCACACAATTCCTCTCTAGCTAAGCTACCTAGCTTTTCATCTCATAAAAATTCTCTTTCATCTTCCCCCTTCTGATCTCCATATCTATCTCTCCACATATATCATCACTCACTCATATGTTCTCCGTCTCTATCGATCCCCTATAAATTTGATCGATCATGAGTAGCAAGGTGGTACTGAAGAGGGAGGCCATGGAGGGAGACGCGGCGGCGGGGGAGAGGGAGTCGCCGTCGTCGGCCATTTCCGCCGACGACGAGAAGAAGAAGCGAGGCGGCAAGAAAGGGGGTGGCGGCAACAATGGAGGGCCGGTCATGAGGAGCTGCCAGGCTGAGAAGTGCAGTGCTGATCTTCACGAAGCTAAGCAGTACCACCGGCGGCATAAGGTGTGCGAGTTCCATGCCAAGGCGCAGGTGGTGGTCGTCGCCGGTCTCCGGCAACGCTTCTGTCAGCAATGCAGCCGGTTTGATCCTTCACTTCTAGCCTGTCATAATTTTAACGTCTGCGTTGACTCTCTTTCTACTGAACATACAGTAGCTACTTGACAAGTGTCTCCACTTACTTTAAAGCACCAACATTTTTCTTTTTCTTTTGCCTCCTAAAAGAAATCAGTATCACATTTTAGTACCCTTAATTAATAAAATATTTTGTCTAGCTTGAACCATCAATTAATAATAATAAAATATTATTTATTATTGATTGTTGTCTAGACTCCGTCGATCAATTAAGTCACCCTGATTAACTTTCACAGTCCTGTTGAACCAAAGTGTAGGGGTGGTAGGATAGGGATTTCAACTTTTGTCACAAGAACTTCATTTACTATTCATTTTTATTTTTAATTCTTGATCTTTACCTATGACAGTATATATTGCATGATTTAGCTAGGTAAGATCTGGTCATATATGTATGCATCTGTTTTATTTAATTATTGTCGGATGACAATAGCGTGACACTTGTCATAAAACACTTCATTTAAAGTTAGATTAGAGTTTAAAATTAGAGTAAATAACAACTTTCATATATAGACATACATATTGATTGTATTGATGTCTAAGCATATTTATACATCGAGGCTTGTACAGTGTCCTAATTGTTAAATATATGCTAATTGAAGAATTTGTTAATATCTCGACTTAAATTTATAAATATACATTTATTGTTACATACTTATAATACAATGTATAGTTTTTGTGCATCACGTTTGTATAGTAATTAATTAATTATATATTTGCATGCAGATTTCACGAGCTTGGTGAATTCGACGAAGCCAAGAGGAGTTGCCGGAGGAGGTTGGCCGGACACAATGAGAGGCGGAGGAAGAGCTCCGCTATATCATCAGAGTCGTCTCAGGCGGCAGAAGCAGTGGCAGCATCTTCATCAACCCGCAATCAGTATCTGAAGGACATAAATGTGTGCGGGCAGGTTGACGACAAGGGAAGAATTCAGATGTCTATCCAAGAAAATTCTTCTTTCAAACACTTCCAGATCAGATAATTTTTTTTTACAAATATTAAGGATATGATCCTTATTGATGTTAATCGACTATGAATTGCCCTCTCTCTGATCTTCTGTCATCTGATCGAATCTCAAATTTTATATAGTTAGATATATAAGTCTATATGGGGTCATAATATTGAAGAAAGAAGAGAAGCCATATATGTTTTGGTTGTTTGTATGCATCCAAAGCTGCTTCAATTCGTCTAAGGTTTCATTTGTATCTACTAATGATTATTATATTGGCTTTTACATTGCTAAATAAATTGCACGCATCGTACGTCCTGAAATCTTTTTTGTCTATTTCTGAAGTGTCCAAATGCTTTTATTTTTTGGAAATTAAATCTCATAACTGCTATTTGAAAGTACATCTTAGATGAGGTTAATAGACTGCTTTCACCAATTGACTAATGATATATTGATATATAGGATTTATATTCTTTTTTTTTTTTTAAATACAAAGTTAATGGGGATATAGGTTATGGCCTATCGGCTGAGGTTCATTGGACCTGCGTTGTTGGGCCAGTTCTGATGGTACGGACCAAGAAGACAATCGTTATGCTGTGGAACGTTTTGCACCTTGCAAAGTGGATACGATTATATTCTATGTTCATAATTACTTAACTATATGTTCATAATTATAAAGTTATATATTCATAATTTTTAAACTTCATATTCATAATTATTGAACTCTATCAATTATTGAATCTCTATATTCATAATTACAGAATTATATGTTCATAATTATAGAACTATATGTTCATAATTTTAAAACTATATATCCATAATTATGAACAATTTTGGAACTGTATCCACCTTATCAAGAGGTGGAAAGTGGGCCAATCTAGAGGTGGACGCGAAGGGGAGGAGCAATTGTTGCAAACGTGAATGAAGAACTGGATAAATAATAGAGGAGAGAAAAAAATTAAGGCTTTAAATTTTGATTTCAAAATGTCAAATGCTTACATGTAGTCTAAGCAGGATAATAAAAAAATATATAAATACACATAGCATTCCAATCAGCATTTACCAATTGTTAACTTGCTAAAAATGCTAATTACTCTTTTTTCGGAGTTTATAGTTGAATTTGAAGCTTATCTTCTATAGATATATAAAAGTGAAATCCCCATAGTCAAGTTTTTCCCCCAACATTTAGGGACATTTTTGTAATATCATTCATTTATTATAATAATAATAATAATAATAATAATAATAATAATAATAATATAATAATAATAATAATAATGTTATTACCTTAATTACAAATTATTATACTTTCCTTTTGAATTAGTATTTTCCACCTATAAATACAAATTTATAATTTTTTCAAACCCTAGCCCCCCCATCATTTCCTTCTCCACATCGGTAGGGCTTCTCCATCCCATAATTTCTTTCTTTTTGTATAAATGTTCTACCTTTTTCTAACTATATTCCCCCGTACTTCAATATGTTTTGCTGTTTATATTGTCTAGTGTGAGCTTGAAGATACTTAAGGAGGCTTTGCTTCAGCAAAAGGAAATTGAGGAAGAAGAGGCTTGGTAACAGAACCCTAATAGTTTAGTTTCTTATGGAAGAACGTAGAGATGCGATCGAGGATGATAATGACGGTGATTTTGATAATTTTGTAAAATTTTATGAAACTTAGAGTTAGTATGTTGACAACGAGATTTGTACATGTCATTCAAGTTTCAATGTTTTTTTTTTAAACAAGCGTTAAGGGTTACGTGGTTCGTTGGGCAAAACAGCAATCAAGCAAAAGCTAAATCGAATTGAGGGGTGAGGACATTGTAGATAGAGGCCATTTCTCATCTTACTTTGCCTTTTTTCTAAAGAGAGTGGGAATGTGACGGTGAGGAAAGAGAAAAAGGAAATGGAGAGATTTATTTATTTATTTTTTTTTTTAACTAGAAGTTTCTATGTTTTCCTTATACAAATTTATAATTGTAAATTTATATTAATAAATCATTATTGTAAATTGTAAATTTATATTAACACAATATAATAGAGTCAGTAGCATTAAAAAAAATGATTATTAAGACAAGTATAATTTATTTTATATCGTGGATACATTTTTTTAATAATTTTGATTTAATAATATTATACCTAATAATTTTAGTATTAAATGTCATACAATAATTACCATAAACAATGTTTAATAATTGATAAATTCTATTAGGCAATAAAAATTACTATTATAAAATCTTTTGTAATATGGACACATTATTTTTAATTATTTTGATTTAATAATATTATATCTTATGTATAATATTATACTTGCCTTAATAATTAATTATTAATATTATTGCCTAATAATGATGTATTGTTACCTTTTTCGGTGTAATTATTATGATAATATATATATATATATATATATATATATATATATATATATATATATATATATTTATATATTTATATATTTATATATTTATACTTAATTTATAATATTATTGGCATGAAATAAATTATACTTATCTTAATATATAATTAATTTTTAATATAATTTTCTTATTTATATTAAAGGTAATTATTCAGATAATTTTTCTTTCATTATTTTGTGTAATTATTATGGTGTATTTAAATATTGGAAGAGATTAGAACAAATATTATAATTAATTAATATAATTAATGAAATTATTATGGTAATTACCACAATATTTGATAATTATAATTATTATAATTAATAAAATTGAGAAATATAAGATTTCTTTCATAGAAATATTTGTGGCAATTTCATGAAATTATAATTAATAAAATATCAAATATAATTAAAGAAATGAAATTATAAAATTAACAAAACATGAATATTTTTAATTTTTAAAATATACATACATACACTTATGCACTATAAGTCTATAATAATCATACAAAATTTAAATGCTACTTTTTAAATTTTTAAATGTATTTTTTAATTATAAATCTATCAATATAAATTATAATTAATGAAATTATATTATAGAACTTTCCTATATACATATTAATAAATATTATGTGTATATACAATGAATTGAATTATACAATCATATAAGAAAATGCGTCGGATTAGAGTTTAAATTTATTCATACAAAAAAAATATTTTCCATATAAATAAATTAGGATATCAATTCATTCTTATAACTAAGTTGCTAGAGAACGAGCACATTGCCTAATTTATAAAAAATACTCACAATGATAAATAAAATCTCCAAAGTTACAGTACCGCATGCGTACATCTACACATTAGCTATTAATTTGAGTAATTATTTGCTTGAATTAAAACAATGATAACATCAAAACACATAAATTGTCCAAACCACATATTCAATTGCACTATAGGCTCTGTTTGGCAAACCTAGCTGAAAAGCTATAAGTTAGGAGTTGAAAGCTGAAAAGCTATAAGTTCGGAGCTGAAAACTGAAGAGCTGTTATGATTGAAAGTGTTTAGTAAAATTAGCTTTTTGATAAGCTGATAAATGTATAAAGACTAAAAGGACATCTTCATAAAATTTAAATTAATTTGTTTACATATTAAAATTTCACATTTTGTCTTTTAAAAAAATTAACATTTTAAAATAAAACAATTAGCATAATCATGATCTTGCATCTCATAATGAAGTAGCAATATTGTTGCAAATCTCATAATAATAATAATAATAATAATAATAATAATAATAATTGCGGTGAAGGTTGCGGATAAAAGAGAAGAGAAAAGATTTTTAATTGGGAAGGGTAAATTATGTCATTTCTTTAAAATAATAAGGGTAAAGATGAAAAAAAAAAAGTTATGAAGCTAGAAGCTTATTTTGGAATATGTAGTGTTCCAAAATAAGCTCTTATTTTAAGCTAGGAGCTTATTTTGGGAAGATTACCAAACAGAGCTTATAGCTTATTAGTAGCTTAAAATAAGCTATAAGCTCCTAAATAAACTATGCCAAACAGAGCCTATAATATTTGATATTCTAATTTAAATAATTATATATCGATCCAAATATTCTTAATATATTACAAAAAATTCACTCCGTGCATCGTACGGGCGAAAATACTAGTTCAAGTCCTATAGCTTAATTGCTATCCCCAAATAGTTAATGACCCCAATTACCTATACATTGATTTTTATTTGAAGTAAAATATTTATTATTTTTATAAGAAATCTGTAATTATTAATGTCATTAAATATTATTCCTAACAGGCGCGCGAGTACAATTTTGATATCCGGACCAGTCTGCAATTGAATGAGAAACATTTTCCTTTTTTTTTTTATCCACAATCTACCACCCAACATTTTCCTCTATATATATATATATATATGTGTGTGTATGTGTGCAGATAGAGAAGTGAGCGACTAAAATCTGTAATAGCATAGCAATGGCAGCAGAGAGGAGAGACGAAAATGAGGAGCAAGAAGGAGAATTTCCCCTTAAAAATGGAGGTCCAATAATACAACTATCTACTAATGTGTCTGTGTGGCTAACTAACTAACGTTGTTTGATTTTGATTGTTGTACCTCGATCGACTTGACGTTTGATTTGATTGCTTCAGGTTCCGGGTCTGATGAGATGGGCACCGACTCTGCTGTAATCCTGGATGAGTAAATCCTTTCGATCTGTTCGCTTGCTTGCTACGTGTTTAATTTGGGCATGCATGCTTCTTTTAATTTGTGTTGTCCCCTAACTTAATTTACTCTCGATCTCATTATATTCTGTATCTGGGACTGTTTAATTTAATGTTTATTTAAAAATCTGATGTTTAAATAGATTTTTATGTATCTTCAATTCGTATCTGTTGCAGTTTGATGGAATCACGAACTGAAATCCGTGACTGGCTTGAATGCCCAATATGCCTAGGTATTCTCCGATCCTCTTTTGTTCTTGCAATTATTTACTATGGATTGTTGCAACATTTCTAATGCCCGTGGCGGCTTCTGTTTTTTTTTTCTTTTCGGGTGGGGAACAGCCGAACAACTGTCCCCAACCTTTAAATTATTTTTGTTTTATTATTTTGAGAAGAAATCAATTTTGCCAACAGCTTGATTGTTTCCATTTTGTTTTATTTCCATTTTTAATTTAGTTTATCTGTTTTAAAATTGGGAAAAGAATCAATAGACCCTTGAACTTTAGCTTAAAAGTCAATTAATTTTCTAAATTTTTTAAATGTGCAATTACATCCATCAACAATTTATTTAGGTACAATGAAACTCGAAAACAAATTAATGACCTGCTACCACATGTCATTAGGGTTCAGGTCACCCTCTGATCAATTTTCGTGCAAGAAAAAAATGATTGGCAGAATTTTCGACGAAAAAAAGTGACCGGCGACCGACGAACGGTCACAGGTCACGAAGAAGACACTAAGGTTGCCTTCAGGCGAGAAGCGACCAAGATTTGGGTTACCTTCTCGCTGGAGAAGGCAACCTAGATGTAGTGCCTTCTCCGGTTGAGAAGGCGACCATCTGGGTTGCCTTCTCAACCAGAGAAGGAGACCTAGACCTGGGTTGCCTTCTGGCCGGAGAAGGCATCCCAGTGGTTGCCTTCTCAACCGGAGAAGACCCCACATCTGGGTTGCCTTCTCCAGCGAGAAGGAGACCCAAATCTTGGTCGCTTCTCGCCGAAGAAGGTGACCTTGGTGTCTTCTCCGTGACCGACGACCGTTCGTCGGTCATTCTTTTTGTCGAAAATTTCGTCGGTCAGTCCCCGGTCACTTTTTTTGTCGGAAAATTTGTCGGAGGGTGCCCTGAACCCTAATGACTTGTGATAGTAGGTCATTAATAACCTGTTTTTGAGCTTCATTGCACCTAAATAAATTGTTGATGAGTGTAATTGCACATTTAAAAAGTTTAGGAGACCTAATTGACTTTTAAGTTAAAGTTTGAGGGCCTATTTGACCATTTTCCATTTAAAATTTGACTATAAAAATTTGAAGTTAAATTTATTTTTAAAATTTTTAATTGTATTCACTTTCCTTTAGGTAAACAATATTGCATCTTCTAATGGTTTCTGTATCTGATTGGCATCATTTAAGAGTTTTGTATATATATTCATCACCATCTTTCTATCTATCTTTCCTAAACTCATTGGCTAGAGTATAGAGCAACGTATAGTAACCACTGCTCGCAGTATCTAAACATTGGGTGCACCATCCACCTTCTTCTTGTATGGACTGCAGGCATCATCAAGAAAACTCGTACCGTGGTGGAATGCATGCACCGCTTTTGCGGGGACTGCATTGAACATGTTATGGAAAAGGGGTACGAATTGAAATTCCCAAGTTATTACATACATACTATTATGTTTAATTTGTTATCAATTGATAAGTCTTTGATATATAGTCCAAGCAGATTCTGGTCTGGTGTGCATGGGATTTCCCATTTCCCAAATGTTATTCTCAAGTTTATATCATTAACAGTAGTAATAATTGGCCAATGACAGGATGAATGATTGCCCTATTTGCCGCTGCCATATTCCCAGCCGTGCTTCATTAAAAGATGATGCAAATTTTGATGGTTTGGTTGGGGCTGTATGTAAACTTGTTGAGAAGTGCGGATATAATAAGGTATGTAATTTTTTATGATATGGTTTGGTCGTCGGTAATATCTGTTCTGTACTTTCTCAATATTTTTAGTCTAAAAAATCAATACTTCCTTAACAAAAGTGTCATCACATTACATATGCAGTTAGCATCAATTTAACTTTTTAATTAAATATAAAACACATGTTTCAATTTTGTATCAGAGAAAGGCTCCAACTGATGATGATGAGTGTGGAAAACAAACCAAAGTCAGGAGAATCATAGGAGCTCCGTCCAACCAAACGTCTTCCTCCTCTGATAGCAGATTCTCTGAGCCTGTCAATCCTAATATTCTACCCGAACATTTGGATAAAGAAACAAGACAGGGTTTTGCGGAGAGAATAGTGGAGTGCATGGTGCTCCCAGAGGTGAGGAATCGTGTGAGAGAGCTTCCTATTGAGGTGCAGGACAGCATATGTTGTAATGTATACCGGGTATGCATGTTTTTTGGTAGATTCGATGATGATAACTTAGTTACATATAATCTCTATCTTATGATTATGATTATGATTGGCTACATGCAGTGCATTGTCCCATACTTGGAAGTGTTGTACCTGTTAGAGGATAAGGATGGGGATATGATGAAAATGGAGGTTGAGGCGTATATGGAAAGGCTAAATCACTTCCTTCATGTAACCATGGAAGGCCTCAAGGAAAAGTTGCAGAAGAAGTTGGAGCAGATAGAGAGTCTTATTAGTAGGGCGATGGGACAGGCGGATGCTAATAAGGCACTGGAGTCGCTGAGAGACGCTGTGAGTAATGTGAAGATAGAGATGGGGAAATTAGAGGGTGGTGAAAGTGGTGCGTTCAATTTAATGGAGAAGTTCTCCCCCCTCCAGGCCACTCAGCAGGTGATTGCTGATCTTATAATAATGTCCAAAAGTAGGGCTAAACATGAGGGTTGGAAGAAGTGGTACAAATGTGTAGGAGAGTACGAGAGGGATTTGAAAGACGCTGTGGCTGTGTATTACAAGATTGGGAAGTCAGCAATGGAGAAGACAACCCGTGGAGCCATCCTCCATTTCTGTCCATCTTTTAAGTTTCACCCCTAGCTCTCAATTCAACCCTTCAGATAGAGGCTGAGCCGCCGCCAGATCAGAGCTTCCGGTGGGGGAAGCTTCTTTCACCGCCGCCCCACCTCCACCTCCTGCCGCTGCTCCTTCTGTTATCTGCTACTTTACTTTCATGGTTTCTTTTTTCTCTTTTAAGTGAACCCACCCTGACAGTTGGGTATCAACGGTCGTGTATGTGACCCCTTATCTGATAGTTTTTATCTTTTATTGATGTTGGGATATTATTTGGAAATTTTTAAATGCATGGTAAACTTCTTTTTCTTTTCTTCTTAATAATCGAGTTTATGATATTATTACTTTGGTATTAGATGAGAAAATATAATATTATTTGAGAAGAAATACTCTGCTCGGGTGGGCCAACTAATATGTAATGTGATGGCACATCTGTTACCATTACAAATGAGTGGTTACAAGATTGAACCGCGATGATGAGAAAGGGCAAATTATGATGTGGACCCAAGTCCAAAACGCACTTCTTGGAATAAAGGTGCTGTTAGTTTCCCTAGTCAATGATATTTTTCTGTTGAATATAGAAGGTGCTGTTAGTGACACTGTTTCCTCCGTCAATGATATTTTTTGTTGGATATAGAATTTTATAATTGTGAATATAGAGTTTTTAATTCTGAATATAGAGTTCTGAAATTGTGAATATAGAGTTCCGCAATTAGAGGAACGAATTCTGAAGATCATCAAGTTAAAGGCAAGGAATGGGGTAATTTTTTATTTTTTATTTAATTCGGACGACACTGTTTTAGATGTGGGTCCACCGGCAGGTTCATGGCGTAACAATTGATGAGGAAGTATAGAACAAATACTATCTTGGGCATGGAAGCATTGATTCTTTGAGCCCAAGAATATTGAGAAATTACTCTTCTAAAAGCATGACCAAATATAACACATCCTAATTTTCTTACTACAGAGTAATTAATAATAAATTATATGCTAATTATGCAGTCTAATTAATTGTTTCCTTTCTAGTGTAGTATTTGATCTGCAGGCAATCTTCTGGGAGGTAGTCTGCGCAGAATATACAGAACAAGAGCCGAAGGAAGAATCTCCGCCGCCATGTAATACACCAAACTCAGAACAGGGTGGTTCACATCGTCAACCGTCGCAATATAGTTAAAACCAGACGCCGCAACCATAAAGCACCGTACGAGGAAACAGCTGAAACATATGACCGTCACACTTCCAATCTCACGAGTCTTCCTTCTCTTCCCCCTAAATTCAATAGGGTACCATCTCAGAATCATATACACCCTCCCTCCGTACAGCAAGAATCCCAGCGCCGCCGTGCAAGAAACCGCAGCAGTAAACATCTTCCAGATGACATCCACGACGCCGTTTCTGACGTCAGTAATCCATAAAAAGATCCAAAAGCTAGCCTGTACGCTGTATATTCCGGCGTTGATTGACGCGTAAAAGAATCGGAGGTTATCGGTCGGGAAATTTCTAGCCTGATAATATATTTCCGCCCAGAACAAGACAAGAAGCGTGTAGGTTGAGAAAAACAGTAATCCTGGGAGGTCTAGAAGTACCGACGTGAAAACCTTGTAGGGGAGACTATGAAACACCTTATTGTGGAAACCAAAGACGATTGCGCGTAATGCGCTTACCAAGAAATTCATCATATGAAAACGTTTCTGCGTTGTCGTCATCCCTAACTCCGCCGCTCTTACTTGGCTTCTTATAATCTGAACCAGCGCAACCGTGGCCACGGCGGCGCAGAGCGAGTAAAACATGCCGTCTTGCAATCCGACTGAGTTCTTAACCTCGTCCCACCCCCGGTTAATCGCCGGCAACCACGATTCTCCAACTCCGGCGGCGATGAATTTCTGTAGCATTCTTGACATGGCTCTTTGACCTTCTCTATCGGTTTATCCTTCTTTCTATATTTCTTGAGTCTTGATATTAGGTCATGCATCGAAGATTAATGCTGGAATTGATACGTTCTCAGGACAAGTTTTTTGTAGTATGTCTAATTCTAATCAACCTCAAACAAGGAATGTTTATTCTAAATAGGAATATAATAACAAGTTTTTAATTAAGTTTGGATCTATTCTTACTAGATAAGTATTGCCAGCTTGTGTTATTATTTCCTGATTATATTTTTAATTGTCCATTATAAATTGTTTATTTTACTTATATTTCTAGTTTAGTTTATTCTTATCTAATTATTTGTTATTATTAACTTTTATAGATTATTTTCATACAATAAAAAAAACAATTACATAATATATAATTATTTAGATAATTACATTGTACACAAATTTTACTTGAAACAAGATAAATTATTATGCAAATGATATGAACACTGTATAGCCAAGAATAATTGAAATGAACTTAATTAATAGTAATAAATTATAAATTAATAAATAATGTAAATATTTAATTTTAGTAAGTAAGAATATAGATCATCCAAATTAACAGGTGCCAAAATTGAGAGCAAGTAAATTAAACCTATATATCTTTAGAATTTTGATTGAACTCATCATGACCTTTAAGTACAAGAATTATATATATATTTCACCTCGACCCCTCTTTTAGTATTTCAATTTTAAACTTCTAGCTAGTTATATAAAGTGGACATGTTGATACATACTATTGTTGTATTACAATTTTTAAAATAATTTGTATGCAAACTAAAGAAATTTGGGTTAGATTATATTCTTTCTTGAATTGGAAATTATAATTATTACAAAATATAAATGTTTTATATTAATTTATCAAGTTTTAAATATTTTAATACAAGTGCTATACATTTATAATTGATACAAACCCACAAATGTTTAGGTTTTTTTTTTTATTTTTTTTTATTTTTTTTATCAACTTTAAAAAGTTTAGATCTATTGTAACAAGCAAAAGTTTAGATCTATTGTTCGAAAGGACCACAGCCAACCTAGTAGAGATTACCCTTGTGAAAACTTACTAATGAAAGTACATAGACAAATTGACCTGAATCAGCAAAAGAGTCCGAATTTGACTTCTTCGGTATCAGGACGATTTGAGTACTTGCCATCATATCGCTCGGGGAACCGGGACTCCAATAAAGAAATCTTGCACTGCCCAGAAAACATCTTCATGAACCAGGTCTCAACAGTCTCTGTAGAATGCACCTGAAAAACCATCGGGCCCCGCTGTGCTATCCGGATCTAGTTTCCAAACCGCCTCCTTTACCTCTTCGCGTGAGAGTGGCGCTAAGAGGGAGAAAGCCTCATGCTCAGCCAACCCCGAAGAGAGGCAATTAAGAAGATCGATTAAGCCCGGACAATCCTCGGCCGAGAAGATGTTGGAATAGAAATTGACTGCCTCCTCTTGTACGTGAAACCATAGAATTAAGCTCGGAACAAGCTTATTTTAGAGCTTATAGTTTATGTTAATTTGTAAATAAGTTATAAGTTTTATTCAAATTTGTGCTTAGATGATACCTTTGTGACTCCCTCGAGGGAAAGTAACAGAGATTTAAGTAGGTACGGTAGGAAATATTATAATTTATAATTTATCCTCTGATCTATTTCTAATCGTTAATTCCAAGTTTCCAACCCACTAACAGTGTTATAATAATTTTAATTTATTATGATATGTTTAATTCTTCTTCTTCTTTTTTAGTGCTAGTGGAGATATGATGATCTTTTAAAGTGACATAAAAACATTTTATAGTGATTGTGACGTAACCGTTTTTTTAAATTTCTATATATACTTTCATTTAATTTTATATCTCTATTTCATTCATCTACATACATCCAATAAAAAGACTTGTGGGAGGCCAGGTCTCCTCCCATGTCTAAGAGAGTTCGTTTTGGGACTTTTGGCCATGTGCATCCTTTTAGTTGTTTGCCTACATTCATCATAGAAGACTTGGTCATATGCCTCATTTTCATAATCTGATCTATTTGCATCCAAGAAATTTTGGCCATTTTCACACCCTTACCTGCAGAGAGATACTTAACACCCATTTGATCTTTTACTTTATTACTACATAAACCTACAACTTCTTTAAACCTAATACTATTATCACGTCTAATCTATGTATAAATCTATCAATGTTCATAATATTTTTGGTATAAAAACATCTGGTTGGGTGCAACACCACATTCAAATTCTAAAATTCACTTCAATTCCTAATTTCTGAAACACGTCATATTATTGTTTGAAAATTTGTTAAAGCTGGTATGATTTATGTGTTCCACAAAATATGAATGTGATGAAAAAGAATGGGTATGTTGTTATGTGTGTGATTGTCACATAATTGTGGACATGTATAAAAGTAAGATGATACCCTTTTGGTTGAATTAATCATACAGAATTTTTTTAATGTGATTTATTTTTCTACATAATTTATAGACTATTGTATAAAATTGAAATTTATTCAATAAATATCATTAGATAATGATGGTGAATTTCTTTAATAAAAATAAATAAATATTCTTTAAAAAAACAAATGAATAAATGTGAGAGTGGCAAGTCAAATGAGCCGTGCTACTAACCGTAGACCTGTCGTTCTCCATGGGTGGGCGGGGGTGGTGTGACCGACCAAGTAGGCAACTTGATTAATCATTATTGTTTCATGTAAAACAAAATGATTGTGTGCCAAAATCACTGAAGATTATCATTTTAAATAATCACTTCAAATCTAGTTGTAATTATTGATTGAATTCGTGCTTAATGTCTCCACCAAATCCTTAACAAATGTGTTTGCAGCATATATGTAATTTGTATAGTTAAATAATTAAAATAGTTCATAAAATTATTATGGTATGTTAATCGATATCTATATCGTAATACAACTATGTAGTACTGATTGGTTATGTTGGATATTGTTGGCACAAGTACTTATATTATCCCGTACATCCAAACACACCTGCATAGTTGTATTAGAGGCAATACAATACAAGTGTCATCAATTAGCATTGGTGATATAAGCGCAAGGACTTAATAGCCTAAAACAATAACGACGAGAAAAACGAACAAGCATCCAACTCATAGTAAGAATTGAAGATTCATTATGGTCAAAGTAGTTGTAAGAGATATTAAGATTGGAAAATCTTTTTAACACAATAAATCACTCAAATACTGTTATATAAGAACGTGATATCAAGAATGAAATTCACCTTACTTGACAGTTGAATGTATATTATTAATATATTATTTTATTTTCAAACAATAGTAATGTATCATTTAATGTGACGCAAGGTTGGGTTCAAATGTCAATCAAATTCAGTAAGATATTTATGGCGTTCAGTCTCAGAAAAGAAAAGTAAAAGAAAATTGATAGAGATAGAGCTAATAAGCTTCACACTGAAGAAATTGATTAAAGAACGCGGTTTTGAATGAAAAGGTCAGCGGGCCAAGCTTCATACTCACATGTATGTAATCTCAACTCTCGACCCACTGCCATTTTACAGCTTGACTATATCTGTATTCTCCTCCTATTCCTCTTCCTATTCCTATTCCTATTCCTATTCCTATTCCTATTCCTGCCACATCTATATTCGAGCCTATATATTATATATATTACCAACCGTCATATACGCGCAGAAGTAGGCAAATCTACAAGGAAACAAAATAAAGAAAAAACAGCCCTCTTTTTCTTCTTTATGTTCTTGGTTTTCGTTTTGATCTGAGGTTTGGTTTGGTGCTTGGAACTTGGAAGAAAGATACAGTCATGACAGGAGGAAGGGAAATTCTTAACAAGATGAAGGTAGCTTCTGTGCTTTTGATTCTTGATTTATTTTGTTTTGTTTTATACTTTTTTTCCCAGTATTTGTTTTGATATGTAGAGGGGCTCAGGCCTTTGGTTACTAGTTCTTGATCCTTCTGCTTACTGGTTTGATATTCTGATGTATGTTTGATTATGTGTATCATAACCTTTTAGGAAATGCTATCTGTACATAATATTATAGAAAAGGGTATTGGTTAGGAGGAAATTAGAGAACTTTACTGCAAGTTAATCAAGTGAAGCCACCTGAAGTGGTATAGCATTCAGTATTTCATGTATTGTCCAAAAGTAGTTCAGGCATCTAGGTTTTGAACACTTGAAGAATCATTTTTGGGAATTTTTGAAGTCTGGGTAGGAAAAAAGTTTAGATTTTGATTAAGAAAATTGAGTGGCAGGGGAAATTTGGGTGTTTGTCAATTAGCTTTTGTGTATTTGGTGCCAACATATCGGGCAGAGCTAGGGCTTAGAGGATTTGGTTTTAAGGTGGGCAGAAAAGGCTGAATATTTTCTATGGCAATTATGATAGAACTGCTAGGTGGATGGAATGTTCCAGAGAAAGGTAACAAGAGTTTTACTCTGGCTCTGATTATCTCTATGGAAAACATAAGAGCAATAACCTATTACTTCATAAGTCTGTATCTTAGTATCCTCATTCGCGTTTTGTTAGAGCATTGGAATCTTGGGCTGCTGAATTTATTTGTTTGCATTTCTTGTTTCAGGAGAAGGCATGCTTTTACACCTCTATGCCAGCCTCGCCAGATCCGGAGAAAGGTAAAAGCACATCGAAGAGGATCACTAATGGCTTCCACCTATTGAAAGGGAAATCAAATCATGCCATGGAAGATTATGTGGTTTCTAAATTTAAGAAAGTAAATGAACATGATTTGGGTTTATTTGCGATTTTTGATGGGCATATGGGCCATGATGTTGCCCAGTACTTGCAATCCCACCTCTTTGACAATATTTTGAAAGAGGTAACTATGTTTTCTTCATCTTTTTGTTCTCTGGGATTTGTCAGTCTTTTCTTGAGCATATAACCATTAATGTGCAATCCAACTATCAGCTGAGATGGAGCACATGCTTCAATTTTCTCCACCGTTTCTCTGTCATCTCATAAATAATCTTTTCCTGTAAACAGCATGACTTTTGGAGCGATACTGAGAATGCAATAAAGAGAGCTTATCATACAACCGACAAAGATATACTGGAGAAATCAATGCACTTGGGGAAAGGAGGCTCAACTGCAGTTACGGCAATACTGATCAATGGTGAAAGGCTTGTAGTTGCAAATGTGGGAGATTCTCGGGCCGTCATTTCCAGGAAAAGTTCTGCCAAGCAGCTTTCAGTTGACCATGAACCAAACAAAGAAAAGCCGATTATTGAAAGCAAGGGTGGATTCGTATCAAACATTCCAGGTGGGTGCTTTGTGTTTGCATTTAAATGTTCAATTTTGCTAGGCTAAACATATCCCGTGATCCCTCTATCTAATTATGCATCCCCTAATTGATTTCCTATCTGTTTTATACCACCAAACTCAAACCCCAGCAATGACTATGAAGCATATTTAAGCGTTTCATAATCACTTTTACAGGTGATGTCCCTCGAGTTGATGGGCAGTTGGCTGTAGCCAGGGCATTTGGCGACAAGAGCCTAAAAAGACACCTGAGTTCAGAACCAGATGTGAAAACGGTGTCGATAGACGATGACGTTGACTTCATCATTTTGGCAAGCGACGGGCTATGGAAGGTGAGTTGTTCTGTTGAGTATATAACCATTAATGTGCAATCCAACTATCAGCTTAGGCTTTTAGTTGAGATGGAGCACATGTTTCAATTTGGTATCAGAGCCAGACGTGAGGGAGCGTGTTGAACATATATGTGCAATCCAACTATCAACTTATGCTTTTAGTTGAGATGAGCACATGCTTCAATGTGTTCCATGTTCACTTTGCTCCCGTGCTAGCTTCATTTTAACGATAGAACTTCCTTGTAGTTAACTAAGAACTTCATTGAATGCTGATATGAAATCTCTATTTCGCTCCTCGTGTTCTTCCTAGGTGATGACGAATCAAGAGGCGGTGGACGCAATCAAGAACATTAAGGATGCAGAATCGGCGGCAAAGCATTTGGCAGAGGCCGCGGTTGCTAGAAAAAGCAAGGATGATATATCATGTATAGTTGTTAAGTTCCATTGATTATAGTTTGAAGTTAGTTTTCAGCTGAATTTAATAGCATGTGTACAAAATTTTTTTTGGGGGGAAACTATCCATAGCCGAATCAATGCTACATTGCTACGTTTGAGTTGGACTGAATCTAATGGGATTATCCCGTATATATATTTAAAAAATAAATCTTGTGTAATACTGTTTCACGTAAAATAGGTAATGTTTCACGTAAAATATGTAATATTTTTTTGGTTAAAATGTGATTATTTTTATGAGCCTACATAAAAAAATATTACATTTTAAATTAAATAGTCACACACAATATTTACTCATATTTAAAAATCATGTAAGAATGGATGATTAAGGTACTATTTTCAATAGATTGATGTTTTGAGGTTGTAAATTTAGCATGGTATTCTTAATCATATAGCCATTTTGCTTGGAATAATGAGTATATAAAATATTCTATTATAGAATCAAATAATTGGTGAACATCTTCTCCCAAAATGTTGAATTCACAACTTCAAAAGTCTCCCACCCCAGCCCAATATAAGTCCATCACAATAACTTATAAGTCCATCACGGCAAATTATGTTGTACATCCGTGTGCACTATGCATGGTGCACACGGATGCAAAAATGACGTCGTTTTGATTACAAAACGCGTGTTCAACTAAAAAAAATCAGTTTCAATTCCCGTCAACAACATTATGTTGTGCATAATTTCTGAATGTATTGTTATGAAATTATGGATATATAGTTATGTAATTCTGGATTTATAGTTATGAAATTATGGATGTTTAGTTATGCAATTCTGAATGTATAGTTATGAAGTTATGCAATTCTTGATTTATAGTTATGAAGTTATGGATGTATAGTAATGAAGTTATGGATGTGTAGTTATACAATTCTAGATATATAGTTATGCAATTATAAATGTATAGTTATGCAATTCTGGATGTGTAGTTATACAATTCTGAATTTATTTTTTTAAATCGACGTCAAAACGACGTCATTTTTGCATCCGTGTGCATCATACATGGTGCACACGGATGCACAACATAACGACTCGTCCATCACAATAACTTAAAACAAATCAAATATAATAACCTTACAAAAAGCAATAAGTATATTACATAAAAGAGTTAATTCTACCAGAGGTCCCTTATCTTTGGTGGCAATTTCAAATTTAGTTTCAGACTATCATTTTTGCCATTTTACATCTCAGACTATCGGTTTTTGGACACTTTTAGTCCTTCTCATGATTTTTTTCTATTTTTAGTAAGGACATTTTTGTCTCTTCATATTTTTCTTTTGTTATTTTTCCGATTTCAACCAGTTTAATTGGTTTAGAAGTTTTACTAAAATTTGGTTGAAAAATATGGTTACTAAAAATCAGAGGTTACTTAAAGTTCTAAACCAATTAAACTGGTTGAAACCGAAAAAAATAACAAAAGAAAAATATGAAGATACGGAAATGCCCTTACTAAAAATAGAAAAAAAAATTATGAGAAGGACTAAAAGTGTCCAAAAAATGATAGTCTAGGATGTAAAATGACAAAAACGATAGTCTGTGACTAAATTTGAAATTGCCACCAAAGACAAGGGACCTCCGGTGAAATTAACTCTACAGAAAACACCACACAACATAACACTTTAATGAAATTCTAAAGATGATTAAAAGTGTTATTTTATTTTAAGCTTCTTCTATAACAGGTTCAACCAAAAAGGTGTTTAAAAATCAAACTCATGACGATTCAAATATAAAAATCTTACTCTACTTACTCAACTACTTCTTTTGTAGCTCATGTGTAAGTCTTTTGACTTCGAAGTTATTGGTTCATATAACTTCCGTGTCAAGTACTTTATGGTCTAATAGTATCATTGTTTTGTTTTCATTCCAAACGGAAGGTTACAGGTTCAAGTTTCATCACAATCAAAAATGTTAAAAAAAAAAAAAAAAAAAAAAAAAAAAAAAAAAAAAAAAAACTAGTATTGTAATATGGGCCCAACTCATAACATTGAGTTATGAGTTTTGTCAAATCAAATTTAAAAATTCCTCACCCATGTTCTTTCATCATTGTAATGCATGAATATTAGAGTTGCTAATTATGCTACGTGGCAGAAAATCACTCCACGTGAGACGATTACGTGTCACATCTTAATGGGGAATTTCAGTGCCGGAGAGTGAAAGCTAGGGATCCACGAACCAAAAACCAAAGGCCCTTTCTTTCAGCCCATTGCTTTTTTCCTCTCTTTTTTTTTTTTTCCTGTTTTTTCTGTTTCTTTTTTCTTTAAATATCAGACGATGCAAAGTTGCAAACACAATATGGACAAAATGCCATTTTAGCTTTCTCCCTGTGCACAATATTAGCTGCCAACCTCTTTCACGCTTTCTTAATGATTGAGTCCATACGACGTCGTATTTCAAGTTTAGAAAACAAAATTGGGGGGACGAATTTAGGCAGAGTGACAATTCGTTTACTTAAAAAAAAAAAATATTCCCGATTTTTTTATTTTATTTTATAAGTGAATTAAATAGCAGCATTTAACAAGGATTCAAGCGCAGGGAAAAATTAATTAAATTGTTAGAATAACATCGAATATAATTATGTGTCATAACAATTTTCTTCCGAGTTTTGTCACTCTCCTTGACAATTAGGTCATGGCCGTTACATTCAGTATTCAATTACTATATTACCACGTGTGACTACATGTATATAAATTTAAAATAATAAAATAAAAAAATCAACAAATATTTTTTTAAAAAAAAAATTATATTTTACTTCATAAATTATAACGTAATTATCCATTTTTTGAAAACAGTAATTATCCATTTTATTCATGTATATATTATTATTAATATTAATGTTACCACTTTTAATTCATGAGTTATTAGTAAAATAACATCTTTAGTTTCTTTGTTAACTATTAGGTTAAATTTATGATTATTTTTCATCATCTTAGACTTAGTTGACTAAAACTAATACTAGAACTTTACTGCTAATTTTTTACACTAAACAAATCACACAACTTAGTATCTAGAAATACAAAACCATAGACAACTAACATCCACTAATCTAACAAAACAATTAAAATTATTAGAGTCGAGGCCAATAATTGAGATTTCTTATTATTATAGTGGAGAATTAAATTAGAGTGTTATAACTAAGTAAAATTTTATTAATATCATTGTTTAACTAATATTTTTACAGAGTAATAACAAATTTTAAGTGTACATATTAGTATTGAATTCGTAAATTAGATTATCTCGATTTATCTTGTTAATTTAGGAGAATCCATAATAGTGGGGATATTTTGTGATTTTTTTGAAGTTTTTGTAAGTATAAATAGGAAAGAGAATAAGGGAAGGGAGAGAAAAAAAATAAAACAAAATTTATTTTTAAAAAAATTAATATAAAGGTAAGTTGTCATGCACGTCCAGCGGGCCCGTGCACTGGGCACAAGAGTGACAACCACGCGTGGCTGTCATAATTGGTGTAATCTATTATGGGTCTCATATTTCTGAATTATTTTCAACCCTTACAGAAACACCTCAACATTCTCTCTCCTACCCTTCTCTCCTTTATGTAAGTATTTATTTTCTCAAAATCTGTGAATAAATTTAGTATTATTTATTAGTGTAGATACTCTGAGGACGAGTTCATAAGATTCAAAATATAATCTGATCTGACCAAGTTGGAAAACCTTTTTGATAATTGGAGAACTAAAAATAGTGATATTCATAATATGGTTAAGAAGTGTTATTATTCTATGACTTGGGGATCTAAAATTTGAAAAAAAAAAAAAAAAAAAACAGCAAGACTCCCTTGCATGCAAGAGTGTAATGTAGAGCTGCCACATATATGGGTTTGCATGACAATCTCTAATGCTATGCAGCCACGCATCTGTAAGCCCATACCTTACACCATCATCTTCACCCCCCTCCCCCCTCTCTCTATCTATATAACCTTTACATACATCCCATCCATTTCATATATCCATCGTCTTCTTTCATTTTATTCACCACTCAATTAATATTCCTTTCATGCATTTCCATTCCCTCTCCATCTCTCTTTACTCCTTAATTAGATACATATAGAGAGAGAGTGAGTGATGGGAAGCGATAATTGTGGTGAGCATCTTCACAAGTTTCACCCCTCTCACCAACTCTTTTTCAACAGGAAATACCTTAGAGACCCCGAAATTCCGCCGAGGAAGCTCCTCAGCCGCCGCCCCTCCGGCGAACCGGAAATGCCGCACATGGAATCTCCGACCAAGATGCAGCAGGAGGACACCCAGTTTCAGAAGTTCTTGCCGTACAACAACAGCGATGACGACGACGATGATCCTTACTCGTCCGACAATTTCCGCATGTTTGAGTTCAAGGTGCGGCGGTGTACTAGGAGCCGGAGCCATGATTGGACGGACTGCCCGTTCGCGCACCCCGGCGAGAAGGCTCGCCGGAGGGATCCCCGGAAGTACCATTATTCCGGGACGGTGTGCGCCGAGTTCCGGAAGGGGAGCTGTGTCCGAGGAGATAACTGTGAGTTCGCCCATGGAGTGTTCGAGTGCTGGCTCCACCCGACCCGTTACCGGACGGAGGCATGCAAAGACGGCAAGAATTGCAAACGGAAGGTTTGTTTCTTCGCCCACACTCCCCGGCAGCTCCGCGTCTTGCCGCCGGACTGCCACGACAATAATAATTCTCCGATCAACATGAACCACTGCTGCGCGTGTTGTCACTCGCCCAATTCCACTCTGATGGCCATTTCCCACATGTCGCCGCCGGCATCCCCGTCTCTCCCATCCCCGGCGACAAAAGTCCCGTTTTCAAGATTCGGCGGCCCCGAAATGGATAATCAGTTCGAGCACAACCCCAATTCCATGACCGAACTGGTGAGCTCTCTTGAATCCATGAACCTTAATGGAACTAACACCGCCGCCTATTCTCATCATCATCCCACAGTGAACCTAATCAACATGAAAATCCCCGCCATGGTTGATCTGAACTTCAACAACCCCTCCGACGACCAGCCGCAGTTCATTCTTTCCCCGTCAACCCCCAGCCCAAGCAAGATCCTGACGGCCGCCGGCGCCACCACCAAGTACTACAACGACAGTGGGCTGCCGGGAATTGATCTCGGGTGGGTCAACGATCTGCTGACCTAATAATAAAAACAAAGTTGATCCGGACCACTGATGAACATTTAGGTGGTCCAGCTAATGCAGATGAAAAGTTGGTTGGACGTACAGGATAAGGAAGAAGATGATTGCTGTATATAGAGAAGCAGCTATCCCCAAGACGGCGATGGACGGTGCATCTCCTATCTATATTTGTATACATCTATCATCAAAACCTCTGTGGGGCGATGGTGATGATGATTTAGATTTAATCAATTAATTAATTATGTCATTGTTTTCCTAATTTAATGTCGGATTAGGTTATTGTCCATTATTATAAGATAAGATTGGATCAAAGGTAGTTTTTGGTCCTCCTGGGTTTGTGTTTTTTTTTTTATGTGCTTCATTTTCTCTGTAATTTGTTCATCTCCAATGTCATGCATTTCCGTTATAGCGGACTTTGTCTACTTGTCATTTCCATAAGTCTACTTGTCTTCTTTTTATTTTTCTATTTTTTTTTTAAAGAAAATTCGGGACCATCAATTAAAATTTCGTAAATGTGTCATTTTTTTTTAATACAGAAATTGCAACAATAACCACAAGATTTTAATTAAAATTTTAAAAATGTGTCCTTTTTATATAAAGAAATTGCAACAATTACCACAAGATTCTATCTTTTATAAAGACATTGTAACAATTAATTCTAAATTCGACTTTCGAAGTCTATTTATTATTATTATTATTATTATTATTATTATTATCTTTTTAATGATTTGAGCGGAAGGCAGCTTAAATTAATTTACTTTGTTGACTAAGATTATTATGTTTACTTCTTTGTGGGGTTTTGTTGACTAAGATTATAATGTGAGATATTTTTTTTTTTTTTGGGTGGGTATATATGTGAGATTTATTGTTTCTCTTATTCCCTCAAAAAAGAATATTGCAATCATAACCTAAAATTTTTATAATGGCTTTGTTTGCTTTATCAGTCATTTTTAGTTTATTTGTTTGATTAATTAGTTTTTTTGTAACAATTTATTGTTTTAAAATGTAAAATTTTAAAAAATTGTTTAAAATATTTTTTTTGAGAAAGTCTTTTTATATACAATCAGACTCAATATCGTCTTCACTAATTGAGTTTTTTTTTTTTTTTTGAACAATCACTAATTGAGTTAAGGTCAAGATCTTATGATCTAATAACACTAAAGTTGATTCTCGTATGGGAGGTTTTGAGTTCGAACTTCAGTACTGAAGTTCGAACTCAAAACCTCCCGAGAATCAACTTTAGTGCTATTAGATCATAGATCTTGACCATTAACTCAATTAGCTAACAATTATTTATTAAACACTCCAATATATACGAAATAAATACTATTATTTTGGGGGGATAAATTCTACTACATTTCAATCAAATCACATCACACCGCACAAAATGTGTATGGAATATAAATTTCGTTCCCTTCCTCCAAATTACATCTCACTAAATTACTAAATTACATCACACTAAGATGTGTAAATCGCACAGGATAAATTTTGTTCTCTCTTTAATAAATCACACCATACTGTGAAGACATGTACATGATAAACCACATTATAAATAAATGTATACAAGATGCCAAAAACGTTATGGTCAAGCGATATAACTGTAGCATTTTTAAATGGGAGGTCACAAGTTCAATGCTCCCACTCATAGAAGGTCATAGATTCAAATTTTAGTAGATGTATTGACTTTTTATACTTCAATATATTTGAAAAAGTGAATCAAAAGTACTAAAAAAAAAAAAAATGTACGAGATAAATTCAAAAGTACTCAAACAAAAAAAATAAAAAATGTACGAGATAAATTCTGTTCTTCGCACTAGGAATATTTTAGATTTTTTTTTTCTGGTTTTAATTTTGAAACATCAATTATTGAAATATGGTTGGAGAGCAAGATGAGGTGGCGCACCAAATCTGAATGTGTGCAACGTGGCGAACATGCAAAATATGATGCTGACTTGTATGCCCTCATTCCTAATTTAGATATGTTTGGTGATTATGGACAAAAGATTTGGAGGAATGCAAATATTTATGTGTGTAAAATATGCTTTTTTTTTTCAGAAAAATTATAAGAGTTTTATCTTGTGTGGCAACCAAAATGGAGAGCAGAAGAAGAAGAACTAACAATTCCCTCCCTTAATACTTTTAGGATATTTTTGCTAAAATTTAGCCCCTGCTGATATTACCCAAAAAATATATATTTATTTCAAGGTTCATCTATTATAATGATTTTTTTATATAATGTTTTAAAATATGTTTCCTTTTTAATCTAAAATGTTTTTTGGTTCTCGATTTAAAAAAAAAAATTATTTCAGTTCTTGTTCAAAATATTTTTACATCGTGGTAAAGTTTTTAAAATATTTATAGGTTGTTTATTTTAGATCTCTATTTTTTATTTCTTCAATTTTTTAGTTCTTTAGTTCTCTATTTCTCCAATTTTTATATAAAGTTTTCAAACTTAATTTTTTTAAAACTATATAATCACAAATTGGATACACTAATACTATATAACAAACATTAATAATAATAAAAAAAATTTACAACACATTAATAAATAAATCAAAATTATTTAACTTAAATTATTTTAACCATTACAAAGTGAAATTTCAGAGAGCTTATGGGTTGAAATTGTTCTTCACAGGGAATAAAAGGAGCTAAAAAGTAAGGGGAAAAAGAATAATGATTGAAAGGAGGAATGCAGAAAATGAGGAGAAATGCCGAAAATGCGGGGAAAATAAAAAAGGAGAGAAAAGAAAAAAAGTAGAGAGAGAGAGAGGAGAATAAATAAATAAAAACCGCTGCCAAGGTTCAAAGGCATGACCTGTCGTAACTGCTGTTTAGATAACCCTCTTAAAATGGTTCTCCTAATTTTAGAAAAATTTAATTTGCCAAAATGATAGATAAACATGTTATCAATTTCTCTGTTTCAAACAAATGTTATCAATTTTTCTAATTTTTCATTAAACAATTATCTATTTCTCAAGTTACGAAACATATATATTTTTTTAATGGATGGATCACAAATTTTACTTGTATTAAGATTTTCACCAAATGTTGATGTAGCATATTTTTAATTATTAGGTACTCATTTTATATCAGTTAACAGTGACATGTAGCGTGTTCTTACCGATTTACTACCATACTATTAATTAGTGTAATATACCTGGGAAACCACAACCAAGTTGATCAATTGTTGATTTGGTAATCATAAAGTTTTAAATTCGACTCTGATAGAGTTCTAGCGCAGTCCTACTTGCCCTACCAGGCTCATAAGTGCTCTTCTCGATCTCAAGAGGCTCACAAGTGCACTTCCTGATCAACATAGTGTTAGAATCAAATATATCAGATGCATCATATAATATGTGATAAAAGGATCATACTAACCTCTAGCCATTAGTTCTTGTATAGAGCGATCCGGACTGCTGTAGAGTTTTGTCTCTCACTTCTACTCAGCTCTCTCTAGATGGTGTATGAGGTATGCAATGTGAGCAGTGAGAGGACTAATTAATGACATTATATAACCACTGACCATGATTGTTGTTGTATGTCTTTAGGTCTCCTAAACCCTAACCAGACTCCTAATCATAACGTTAGTCAAGCTATTAGGTTATTAGTGTTGCACCACACATCAAATACTTAATATTATCATAAAGTATCCTAATGTTATAATAATAATGATTAGGGAAAATGTTACACATAGTGTATTCCCAACTCGAATAGTGTATGTACACTTATCGGTCGTATTATTAGTACATTTACTGGTCGCATTAATTATCAGTACACTTACCAGTCGCCTTGTTAGTAGACTTCCCGACCGACCCCGTCAATAACCACACAATGATAACCAAATATCAGCAAGATCTACACCATGTGTCCCATCACGTGGTTATAATCCTAAGGAAACATGGCAATATAGTTTCACCTCCAAATCTCCATATGACACGTAAAAGGCATGCCGAGTGGCCGGCATTCATCCCATTTTCCCTCTATATAAAGGGCACTTATTGCTCTTGAGAAAGAGAGTTACTTTGCACAACCTACTCCACTTCAAGCGGCGCCTCCTACCCTAGTGTGGTCAGACCCTTAATTAAACTCCCAGTCGCGCAACTCACCTTCACTTACCTTCCGTGTCACATATTTACCTGTTATATTTTATTCACATTTCAAAAGGAAAAAGTATTGTAGTTTAAAATATGTACTACTCGGCCGTATTAGTTAATTTTTGACCTAACCCAACCCAAAAAAAGCTCATAATTTTTCTATTTCGGATTTCCACATAAAATATCTTGTCTCATTAGTTACAGTTTTTGTACTACCCATCTCTACTATTCAAGCTAACCCGAACTTAGTGCGTCCCCAAGAGGGGTTTCTTTTTGAGGGGGAGGGGAGGGTTCAGAAGAAAAATTAATTTAAGATGAGATTTTAGCACGGATAGAGAGTGAAAGTTGGAGATGCATACAAGTATGCATATAGATATATGATTACATAATGGGTGTGCATCTATCTTGTTTCCTAGGAAGCGTACGGTGTAATGGAGGACAGCAAAGGTGGTAGGGCACAAGAGACTGGATGGCCATAAAAAAGTGTGTGTAGAATGCTCCATTTTCATGAAGCATGCAAGGTTCCATGTACCTATCCCAGTTTTGCATGGGTTAGGTTGTTGCTTTAGGTTGGGATAATTGTCACTCATTCACAGCCAATGCCATGTACCCATCCATCCATCCCATTCCGACGGGTCCCCCACCCCCACATGCCTTTCCAATGACCTACTGACCCCAACTCCCTAACCCAACACTGATTCTTGATGTTTTTCGTCATGATTTCTTGATTGCTAGCTTAGCTTCTGGGATTCAATTCGCTGCCAGCCAAGCAAAGCTCTTAATTCTATTCGATTTGGTTAATCAGTTGAGTTGTGTTTCAGCGGTTTAAAATTCTTTTTTTTTTTTCATTGATTAGTGTGAATTACCTAATTTGTTTGTGGTTTGCACTTCATGTGTGACGGGAAGAAGAAAGTGAATTTGTCAGAATTGAATCTGGGTTTAATGCCCAGGAAAGGGCCTATGTAGTTGTTGGGCTGGGAAACATGAATCTAGCTAGGCTATTGATTCCCTTGGTGGACCACAAAGGGAATGACCAAATTAAATGTCCTATGAGCAACTGTCTACTTCATTTTTATTCCAAGAGCCCAATTCAACATTCCCATCAAACCTAAACATTATTCCATTAACTTCATTTTCAATGGTTCAACACTGAATAAACTAAAAAATGTTTCAGTTTCCCAAACACACTATTAGTCAATTACAATCACCACATACATCATGTACTATGTTTCGTGCATAACAATATTACATTGACCAAAATTTTTCACTAAGATTTTTACCATTTGACATGACTTTACTAAAAAATAAATAAACTGGAGATTGTGCAT